ATTTGAAAAATTTATACGGGAAATTGAGTTTCGGGGCAAATTCTATCCATTGAGGCTCACAATTTTCAATCATCAAATTTGTCAATTAAATTGTTCTGAGAAAAATTTGAAAAAAAATCATGAATATTCAGCGTCATTTAAATTAAATTTTGCTCACAATTATTATTTTTTAAACATTCCTTATTTATAAATAAATAATTGAAATTGTTTAATCTTTCGGAAACTTTTTTTTAGGCATGAAATCGATTTCTAGTAAAATTCTGAATATGAATAAATCTTTACGTTTCGAACAAATGATTTTTACACTGTTGGAAATTTTTTGAATATTAAGCAATAGTTGCGCTTGAATTCTGAATATTGTGAATTGGAATTCAATTTAAGATCTAATGACTCGTGGAATCTGGAATGATTCTAGAATTTTCAAATTTACTCCAGAAATTGACCATCACATCCAACTGAATTTTCAGTGGATTGATTCAGGGAAAATTCAGGGAAATTGTTGCTTGAATTTTCAAATTATTTAATAATTTTCATCATCATGTGGACCAAAAAATTGAAATTCCACTGAATACTCCAGAATACAACTAATTTTTCAATAAAGAAATACACAAAAATGAGTAAGTGTTAAAAATGTCAACATTTTTTACTTGAAATGGTGGAGAATTGATTGTTTGTACATTATCTACAGAAAATGCTCATTTTCAAAAATTACACTTTTTAAAGTATTTCATCAATCATTCTCCAAAAGTAAACTTTCTATTTTTTTCAAATTTCTAAAATGTTTCTGTTTACAATTGAGACTGGTTCGCGGTATGGGCCAGTCAGGAATAATCGGGTGAGGTCGGGTTTAGAGTTCGAGAGGCCATTCTGGTCGACCGGCCCTCGCGGGAGTACGGATTCATCAGCCATAGAGTTCACATCGTTTTTTGGAAGACACGGATCGGTATCAATTCATCACGTATAGGGTATACATCTCGGTATTCACGGTCATCACTATAAAATTGTATCATTCATCAATCGTTATCATCACGGTTATTTCATCTTCAATTATCGAATCAAATAATGAGTTATCAGTGTCATTTGTGGACAATTATTAAGTAACATTTATGGTGTAAATAGTGTAAATATCTTTAATTGGTGACATTATATAGATTTGCCTTGCGGTTTAAATCTCGCGTTTATTTCACATCCCGACTCAATCATGCACTCACTTCCTGCTCCCGATCCACCCAACCCTGGCAAATTATCATTAATCCTTAACAGTTTCTTAACGCTTCAATATCGAGATTGAAATTCAGATCTGCAAAGTTTAAATTCTAAAATCACTGTAAAATATCCGGAAACTTACACGGAGAGAAATATTCAATAAAAATTACCAGAAAAAAGACGTAAAAATTACGTTTCGAAACGTAATCTGGGAGCGAAGTAAAATTCAATAAAAAGTGTCAATCGTCACGTAAATTCTTCGATCTGTTCCGTAAAAATTACTCATCCGTCCGACGCCTCACCCAAGTTTCTGTTAGATTTGACAACTTCCAGAAAAATTACGTGACTTTTTCGTATTTTTTCGGTGACAGACCCGAAAATTTACTGAACGTTTCAGATTTATTCTCTTATATTCCTATAGAAATTCACTGAAAACGATTCTCGCTTGCGGATTACGTGAAATGTTCCGTAATTTTTCTTGAATATTTCTCTCCGTGTGGGGTCAAATGAAAAATGAAATGCTTTGACAAAAGTAAAAAAGCATTTCACTGAAGAAAAAATACCCAAAGTACTTGGATATTCTTGAAACAAGAAAAATAGTCGAATATTGAATTTTAAAAAATCCATAAAACGCACATTCAAAGAATATGATGAATTCATGCTAGCACAGAGTTACGTCCAAACATTGCAGAAGAAACGGTCTGGGGACGAGGGATCGTGAGTTAAAAGAGCAAAGTCCAGAGTTAGACGACCTCGAGTTCCCCTTGAAGTGGTTTTCCTCTCTGCGTGTCTACAACACGTGACGTACAAGGTTGTATGCATGACAATTTTCCCCGGGCATCTGAATGCGAGTAAAATTTCTTGGCCCTCGAGTGTCCACATATAATGGGGATCGCGATCATCCAAGTTTCCTCGAGTTGGATACGTCCAGCCCCCACTCACACTCGAGCCAGCACTTGTACACTTGCTTGTGGCCACATCACCCTCACAATTTCATCCGGAATATAAACGAATATATCTGTATTTAGGAAGGAGTGGGAGCGGGAGGGTGGGTGGTTGATATTCAGTTAAGTACTAACCATCCAAGTACCATTTCCTCTCCAAGATTTTCCTGGGTCGGAGGCACTGGCCCGAGAAATTCAATTACTGCTGGTGGAACTTCTTGAGTTAAGTTTCTATAACTGCTTTTGAATGGGTCTATACAATAGTGTCGTGGAAGATTTCAAGTTGAGGGGAGGGATGAGGGGAATTTAATTGTAAATAGAGGGAAATTGATATCGGTAGCTAAATAAGGCTCGGTATAACGTGAAAATTATCGAGGCGATCTTACAGTGATAACTTTGCAGCAAAAACCAATGTCTGAATTTCACACACATTCTGCACTGGTAGAATGATTCACTTATTCCAAACGAGATTCGTTAACTATTAAAGAATGGTAGAGTTGAATATCACTAAATAAATATTCAGCAGTAATACCCCAAGAGCTTCAAAATTATCGGGTATTTCCCAATAGCTTCGTTGCAAACAAATGAAGGTGTCAAGTTTTGCAGGTTAAAAAATTCCGAGCGCTTGCACGATTTGAAATTAAAATTTTCATTTTACTCACATGTTTTTTAGCGTCTGAAAAATGCCTATAAAAAGACGTGTGAAGTTCAGACATTCATTTTTGCTAAAGTAAATAAATTACTTCAGCAAAAACTAAGTACTTTTGTTAAAGTAAATCAGAGAAAAAAACGTGGAAAATTTCAGCTGAGAAAATTCTATGACCCCACTCAACTCATAATCCACAATTTCCTGAATAAGTAATTAAGTATCTCTCACAGCCGCTTCTTTCCTCGTAATTTTCAACTGCTCCAAAAATCGACATTCACTGTTGAAAAAATATGGCTGAATTTTCCGAAAAACGGCCTTGAATTCGATTTAAGACGAAAAAGTCAATGGAATTACAAATTTCTCTGAAAATTCAGGTCAAGTCCCAATTTTTAGTGGCTGGAAGCTAGAAATTCAACAATTTACATGAATTTTCAAGTGAAAATGTATTTTCACTGCCCAATTGCCTTGAATTTTCCGGGAATTCCTTTAAAATCCTTGGAATTCCAGGAATTTTTAAAGGATTCTCTGAAAATTGAGAGGAATCTGAAATTTAAAGAGAAATTCGTCTGAATTTTCCCCATTTTTCATCAATTTTTTCAGAATAATGAAACTAAAATTTTCAGTTCCCACGGATTTTTCATGAAATTTTGAATTTTCAATGTCAAAATTCCTTGGAATTTCAGTGGAAAATTTTTAACAGTGTTCTCTCCGCCGAAAAGAGCAAAAAACATTGATAAAATGAACAATTAACCGGCACGCGAATCGAGTGGAGATTTTCGGCCACACGTCCAAGTATCATAAATCCTCAACAATCGTAAAAAAGAGTCCAGCACAAAACTACCCGTCACAAGGAGTCATGTAAGTCACTGTGCGCGCCATTGTGCCACCACTTGAACAAAACTTTCTCGAATGAAAACCGTTGATCGTTAGTACACATTGAAATACGCATTTATTTCACAATCATTTTTTTCTCCTTTCAATGCACTTAAATGTGGGTAAAAGGTCTGTTAGGAGCACACGCGCTCACCCTCGAATTCTATAGCACTACTTAGTATTTTTCTTGGGCAACTAATGGCCTTGGGCGAGCGCGTGTCGACCCCCAAAGCGCTCTCATTCGAGTTTATAATACTTTAATCAACACCTGGAGGAGTCAGGCAAGATGTAATCTACTCCAAATAAATAAATATCGCAATGCCAAATGATTGAAATCAAAAGGAGAATCGAAAATTGATGGATTCTCCGTCTTCGATCTTCACGTATGAAAAAATTGTATAGAAATTTTCTACACGGATTGCGTATAGAAATTCTATAGGATTTCCGTGTATGATATTCGAATATTTCTATACGAATTATTTCTATACATAAATTTCTACATAAATTTTTGTTTTCATACGAAAGATGTCCAAACGCCAACCAAACGCTACGAAATGTTCTTATACATGTGGCAGTGGGTCGTATAGGATCAAACCTATAGAAATTCAATAGAATTTTCAATAAAAATTCAATAGAAATCGAGTAGAATTTTCTAGCGATAATTTTATTAGATTTCTATTGAACTTTGCATTAGTTCGATTCTATTGAAGAACTCCGCAACTGATCTTCGCGTTATTTTTCAATAGAAAATATTCTATAGAAAAAATCAATAGAATTTGATTTTTCAATACAATTTATTCTACTGAGATATTTTCTATAGACACTCCTCGGCTCAAATATCCCAATTTTTTTTTAATGAAAAGAGACAAAAATAGAGTAGAAAAAACTTGAAAAATTCATGTCGAGAAATTCCTATAGAAAATATCTCAATAAAAAAAGTTCTATAGAAAGGTGAAATTCTAGTGATTCTTTTTATGAAATAGCTTCTGTTTGACATTTTCTATAAAAAAATTATTATTAATGCAATTATTGTTATTTTCAATTTTCTTTATAAAAAGAGAAAAAATTTTTGAAAAGCGAAAAAATAGTTCAGAGAAAATTTAAATAATTCATGTCGAGAAATTCCTATAGAAAATGGCTCAATCGAAAAAGTGGTAGAGAAAGCCGAAATTCTAGTGATTTTTTTTTATAAAATGGTTTCTGTTCGGCATTTTCTATTAAAAAAAAAAGTGTGCGAAAAACTTCAATAAAATTTCCCTAGAAATCCAATGGAGTTTTCTATCGAATTCACAAGGTTTTGTATGGAATTTTGTCGTGCGTGCACTCACCAGTGGTGGATCCGTCGTTCTTATCCGGCGACGAATACCCATCCGGAACTCTCATCCTCAGCAAGCCGCAATCATTCTGCTGATGCAACTGAGTCTGAATCTGGGCCGCTGCAGCAGCGATGGCTAGACCAGCAGGACTGGATACATGTGGATGTGGCGGTGGACTGTCCCGAGTGGGTGCAGCTGACGAAGACGTCGGCATTACGGAACCACTCGGACATGCACCATTATTGTACTGCAGCTGGAGACCAAGCTCCCTGGCTTCACTCTCTTCCTGTGCCTGTTGTCTCCTCAGGGCTACCTGAATCGAGCAACATTTATACTGGAGACAATTTTATCAACTGAAAAGGTTCCTCAAATATTCAGAATTATATTCGAAATTATTCTCCGAAATGACGCGTATGGAAAAACTTGATAGAATTATCCAGCGCTTTTTTAAAGAGATTTTGTTGAATTTCTATTAGAAGTCTATAAGAAATCTACAATATTGGAGTTCTATTTTAATTCAATTTAAAAATTATATATTTTTTTGCGCTAATTCTATTGGAGATTGTCAAATTTTACGTTGTTATTTCGTTAATGGATGTTTCATAGAAAAAAGTAAAAAATGTTAGTATGGGGTATGGGACAAAGTAGCGTCCACATACGGAGAGAAATATTCAAGAAAAATTACGGAACATTTCACGTAATCCGCAAGCGAGAATCGTTTTCAGTGAATTTCTATAGGAATATAAGAGAATAAATCTGAAACGTTCAGTAAATTTGCGGGTCTGTCACCGAAAAAATACGAAAAAGTCACGTAATTTTTCTGGAAGTTGGAAAATCTAACAGAAACTTCAAGACTTATCATGCCTCAGAACATGAAAATTCGCGGATGTTTAAGAATTTTTACGAAAAGTTCCGGAAAAATTACGGAACGATTTGTTAAAATCTCCCCCTCACGGTGACTCATGGCTAGCCGTGAGGCGTCGGACGGATGAGTAATTTTTACGAAACAGACCGTAGAATTTACGTGACGATTGACACTTTTTATTGAATTTTACTTCGCGCCCAGATTACGTTTCGAAACGTAATTTTTACGTCTTTTTTCTGGTAATTTTTATTGAATATTTCTCTCCGTGTAAAGGTTGTGTATAAGGCGCAATCTGAATAATTAATTAAACACGAACGAAACCACAAAAGTAGTTATTGCTTTTACAAATACCTTTTTAACATTTTTGAGTGCTATATGATATATTTAATTCGCAAGCACATTGTCATATTTTACCCAGAAGTACTGCGGAGAGCGCTTAATAAACGAAAAATAATTCAATTTAACTCAGAAAACATTTCATCACCCCTCATTGCCCTTCATGTATCACTAACCTGGTGTCATTTTTCGTAATAGGAAACACGAATTGTAAGACGAATACATACAGATGCATAATGTAGCACGAGGGGATGAAAGAAGCAGAAAAGAGAGGAGAGTAAAAAAACTTGAAGAGGTGGGTTACAACGAGGGGTTGAAAAGTATACAGAAAATAAATGCCGAGGCTCAGTAATGTGACACGATAGGCTAGTTATATTTCAACCTTTACCTGCCCACCCTTATAAATGCGTTATTCGGCAACAGTGTACCCGAGTGAGAGGAGACTTGAATTACAGAATGTAAGGCACTCGAGAGGGAATTCCCCTGCGCCGGGAGGTGGAGCTCCATCGGCTCTTTCTTTTGTCACTGATGCTCAAGAGCTTGCAACATATACTCCAAATTATTTTGATGAATTATGGGGAGTGAAACGCTATCCAACGGATCGTTTTTTTTTTGTTTTCATTACTAAAACGGGTGTATTAATTTCGGATATTTTTTGGAGGCATTTTTCTGACGCTTTTGGGGTATTTTTTCTCATGTGTGACCTCATGTGTGAATACTATTTTTAATTGATTTATTAATTGATTTATCTTGCCATGGATATCTTTCTCTGCAGATTCTGAATGCTATTATTGGCTTCGTGTTTTAATAAAATAAATGTATTAATAAGTAAATGAATAAAGAAACTCCTGAAGATAAGCTGTTTGATGTACTCTAAAATGTAAGGAGTAAGAATTGTACGAAGGAATTTCACAGAAAAACCTACCGAATTCGCTAGGAAATTCTCCCCCAAAAAAATTCTATTTTTTACGATTACCTTTCTTACTTATGATAAAATAATCGATTTCATGCCAGAGAAATGATGAAACAATTTCCATTATTTATTTATCAAAAAGCAATGTTTAAAAAATAAGGATTTCAGACACAAAATGTTATCTTCATGACGTTAATTTATCCCGATCTTATTTGAACAATTTTGATAAATAATGCCTCTGAGAAGAAATGTAATTGCCAATTTTCAAATTTTTTGATGATAATTCACAACTGTGTCTGACCCTTATGATAGATTAACGCCAAAAAATTATGCGATCTGTCAATTAGAGCTCTCCAACGGTGGAGGATGACACTTTGTTGATTTTGACTTAAAAAAGACCCTTCAACCCTTAAAAATGACGTTCCCTTTCCGATTTTTTACGTAAAAAGCCCCGAAAGAGCATTCCCCTGAATTTGACGTTTTGTCACGTAATTATTCCCGAGCTCATTCCCGAACCGCGTGTGTAAACGAATCATTATTGGATTATAAATAACGTAAACAATGTGTTTTAATTAAAGTGCATTGAGTAAAATGAGGCTGTTTTATTTTTAAAAAGTCAATAGTTGTAAACCCCAATTCAAATATGATTTTGCAAACAAACCTGTGCAGCCATAACCCTCTGTCTCTCCGCAATCAACGTGCATTTGGCACAAACGCAGTCCCTCCACCGACAGTACCGTTTATGTCCCTTCAAAGCCGACACAACCCCATGATTCCGACATCTCGCACACTTGGGTGTCCTCTGATACCGTTCAGCACTAGCACGTAGAAAGAATGCAGCAGGCAGCACATGATGCTGCTGCTGTTGCTGCTGATGCTGCATCAACTGTCCAACGTCAACGCCGAGACCAACACCCCGCGGTAACGACATGACGTATCACAGACAAATTACGGAAACCGGAAAGAGCCCAAAAACTCTCAAAGCATAACACAGAATACCATACTCCCAATATCATCGGCACGAAGTCACTGTTTCACATTGAAAAAACGCAACAAATTGACTGTCCGGCCGGACGATGTTGTGCGTTCCGCCCGAAATGTTTCAATCCAATCCGCGATGGTATCACGTTCCCTGACTATTCAAATTGTCATTGGGATTTGTCCGTCGGAATCGGTAAACCCTTGCACTCTCAACTCAAAAGCGGGGAGGCATATGCGCAAAGCTTAACCCGCGCAATGTCGCAATGTCTCATTCGTCCTGCCCTCCAGCCAACCAACGATCACGGAGTGCCGCGATAGTAACTATCTCCGTCAGTGTTTGCGCATCACCATCGCTAAATATCTCATCGGACATTCACATTCTCCCCCGCGTATCCACCACAAGCATCACTCGAAAATTACCCGAAACCCAACATCTGAAGTTACCGAAAAATCATGTGACGGACGAAGCTGCGGCCGGAAAAACTTGCACCATCCCGATGATCGGGAGTTGCGTTACGGTCTGGGGGCCAAGTGTCGAGTATTCAAGGCGTTGTCAACAATTGCAGCATTCTCAATGGCCATGTGGTGGGGGTAGTTGACAGTGGTGAGGGTGGTTCAGAGGCGGATGGGAAAGGGGGATGGTATCCAACAAAAGGCGGCGGGAGGGGGAGAGATGAAATTTTCGTTGTGGTGGGAAGAGGTGAGCGCGGACGGTGAGGAGGGGATTGATGCCTGAAACTAACTATTCCGTATTGCCCCACCACGGGTGAAAAGCGTGAAATAAAAAATACAGTGCCACAGTGTACCCACCCCGGGGTTTCAACCATACGCAACCCTCCGCTGGGTTGTACGGGCCACGCCTGCTCGACTCTACTATTGGTGGAATTATATTACCAACCCAGACGGTTACCACAGCAGTTGATGTTTAAGAGTTTATATCCTACTATTCTGTATTTCTATGGGACCCAACCTTCCTGGGTATTATTGTATTTTTCAGGCTGTCTCACTTGCCACTGCTGCTACGTGCATTTACATTTGATGGGAGTTTATGCTGAATGATGTTTAGACAAATAATTCAGTTTCGGCTGTTTTTTTTTTCATTTTGGGGAGGGGAGGGGGTGTATGTGTGAGGGGTTGGGGATGGGTTTCGGGGTTTTATACTGTGAGCTTTTAGACAAAAGGCTTGGNGGGGGGGGGAGGCTGGAGTTTTTTATTTTCGGAAACTGCGTTTTTGTTTAGGATCGAGTGGGAGGGAGAGGGTTAATTGTTTTGTGGAGAGAGGTTTATACACCGTTCCACATGTGGAATATCAGGCATGATGGGAAAATGTGAAGGAGATAGAGGAAAAGGGTTTCTTATGAATTTTGGGGGAGGGAAGGTACTCATTTTAGAGATCTCAGACTCGTTTCTCATGAGTTGTGAGAGGAGGTCTCATGCCAACGGGCACGAAACAATTTTATAAGAGGGACCGAGCGAATTCGATGGAGAATTCCATTGTATTTTTATTGAACTTCTATTGGAAATTCTAGTATTTTTGGCCGGTTCTGTTGAAGAATTCCGCGAATTTACTCCGCGTTTTTTTCTATTTTGTGGAAAATCAGTAGATTTTCATCTTTCTTAGCAGCTTTTTTTATTGAGACATTTTTTATAGGAATCTCCCGATGTGAATTTCCCAAGTTTTTTCTTCTCTTTTCATTTAAAAAAGTGAGAAATTGCTCTTGTATTTCATATAGTTATTTTTATTGATAAATTAACAATATACTTCCGAATGGTTATTTTGCACAGCGTTTCCGTCTATCATGTATAATTCAGTAGAGAAGTAGTAGAATGGTTTAAATGGGCTTATCTCTTAATTGAGTTTTTGAAGAATATTTCGAACTCTAAGGGAGATAGCGAAATTTTCGTAATTACGTTTGTTATAGCTCTCAATCGGCTCTACAAAAAAGGTTATAACCAAAATTTTGCTATCCCCCTTAGATTCCGAGATATTAATTGAAAACTGGTCAATAGTCAAAATTGATTTGTACCGTTTTACCACTTCACTACTGAATTCATTGTTTATTTAATTTTATCAAATTGAATAAGATTTCTTATTCAATGACTGTTATCATCATCGTTATTCTTATCATTCCTTTTTTCTATATAAGCGATTGTCTTTTTACAGTTCTATCTCTCCCGTCAGCCCTTCCATAAAATTCGAAAAAATTCAAAAATCAAGAAAAATTGATGAATTAAATTTTAACCAATTGCGATCGATGGTGCTCAATAATAATTACGTTCGAAAAAAAATTCTTGAAGTAGTGTAAAAACAGCTGGATTTTTAAATTATTATAAAAACTGTAAGGAAATGGCTCTGGGCAGGGGTATTCCATTAGATTCAGAATCGTAATTTTTTCTCAATTCAATGTTTCTGTTTTTTCAAGCAAAAAATAAAAAAAATTAACCCAGGGTTTTATTTGAAAAAAGGAATGGTTTGGGATGATTGTTCTGAGTCTGGATGCACCTCCGGATAGACATGCCTGTAAATGTCCCCCAACAAAGTTGAAAATTTATATTTTCTTTTGAGAATCCCTCGAGGCATTAGGGAGTTGCCTCGAGGCAACAGGTACCTGCTCCCGAAAAATTCCGAATTTCCCATCACCCATGTGACCTAAACGTCGGTCCTGTATTATATCGAGCGAGAAAAGAAAAAGTATCCGACTATCGTGATCGAGATACATTGTTTGAGAACACACTCGAGGGATACATAATCTCGAATTACGATGTTTGCCAACAAACGAGGAATCGCGCAATCCTGCAGAAGAAGATTAGATCGGATGGAGATACCCCATCAGATTTTGAGGGTATGCTCCTATGGATGTAGTACCCGGGAGAATTGTTCGGAAGAATATAGAGAGACTGTCAAAAGCCAAACAATGTCGTGAGGGTGGAATTGTAACAGAGTTTTAATCTCCGAGATCTACCCTCAATCGTTTTTTAGAAGTGCACTTTTGGTGGAGGACATGGAGTGGGTGGGAATTTAGTGGTAGGAAAGTCTTCTATTCATAAGCGAAATGTCAACAGAATCGAACGCAGTAGAATCAAAAATTTTGTTTTTATTTTCAAAATTATTTTCAACCATTCTTACATTTTTAGTCTTTTCTAAAAAAAGCCATGGGCAATGTCTCGGATAGAATAAAATTAGTTGAATGAAATTGCCCAGTGTAGTGTTAAGTAAATTCCCTCAGAATAAGTCTTATACCCTTCACCTCGCCCTTCACGCTGTATAATTCAGTAGCGAAGTGGTAAAACGGTTTAAGTGGACTTATCTCCCAGTTGAGTTTTTGAGGAATATTTCCGAATTTAACGGAGATAGCGAAATTTTCGTAAAGACATTTGTTATAGCTCTTAATCGGCTCTACAAAAAAAGTTATAACAAAAATTCTGCCATCTTCCTTAGATTCCGAGATATTTATTAAAAACTGGGCAATAGTCAAAATCGACTTATACCGTTTCACCACTTCGCTACTGAATTGTTCCTTAAAAAAATTATTGAGTGAAGAAGTGAAAATTACAGAGTGAAGAGAACTTACCAGCGACTCTAACTTCTCTACGAAATTCCTCTTTTCATTTTTACAACCAAGACAATCATTTCACAATTTATTCAACCATTCAACAAAGCAAAAAATTCTCCATTTTCATTACGAAAAAAAAATATCCGTAAAAGTGAATATAAATTGAAGAAGCTCCACGGTATACCCCGAAAATGAAATATACCTCCGATTTTTGACGTTTGGCTTTTAACAGATTGAATTGAAAATGGCCCCCTGGCATCGACACGACAGAAGGGCATATCTGTCTAAAAAAAAATGACTGTTCGGACCCGTTGGGAGAAGCAGCGCCGATATATATACACACAGATATATTCGTTCAAACGTTTTTTTTTCACCCCATTCTGTCTCTCTCCACATATTCATTTTCACGTCCGCTGATCCGGCACATTGCGAAACGGTACCGAAACGACTAGACGGTGTGCACTGCGGATTCGTCGAAAAATTCCGAAGGGAGTATATTATTTTTCCATCGACTGTGGTCAGCACTGTGAATTCTCACGAGGAGAGGAAAATTATGTGCCACTTCCCTCCGGAAAATATATGTATTTTACCCCAACTGTTGGCGTCCTGAGAGTTTTAATAATAAAAAAAAACATTGAAAATGGAATAAAACTGGGGTGATGGATTCGGACAGAGCGGGAAAATGGTCAAAGCTAAAACGCTCAAACGCTATATATTATCAGCAACCCTTCAAACACAGCATTTGAAAACTCATATATACATCTTCGGTTTCTGGGGAGGGGGGCAGACTGCCCACAAAAATTCGTGGCGATTCGTTTCTCCCTTTCGAAATCTAATGCCGACATATTTTGATGCCATGCGGAGGGTTTGACTCAGTGGTGTCACGTGATGTGATATTTGTGGGTTTTGAAGTGTGAATAGGGTGCGAAGAAATTGTATTTTTGGGTTTTTAGGAATTAAAAAAAATGAATTTGGGAGGAATTCCAGGCGGGTAACACTTGTTTAAATATTTTTAGGGAAATTTTCGGCCCGCGAGCGCTCCCCCCACTCCATTACCTACGAAAGTCTTTAAATGAATGCTCCCGTTTTTCCTGGAGAAGTCATTGTTTTTGAATTCTCGGAAATTCGCAAAATAAAATACTGAAAATATGAATTTACGATGGGTAGACATTTAATCTGGTCCTGATCGTCACGGAGATAGGTTACACTTTTGGAAGTGTATATTCGCACGCTCTACGGTAAATAGTGAAAGATGAATTTGTCGGCAATTGTTTTTTTTTTTTTTTTTTTTACAGGCTCGGAGTCCCTTTTTCGGGTCCCATTCGGCACTCTATCCAACCCTATGCATGCGGCTGTGGATTCTACACTGTACCGCATTCGCACTTCTATAGAACATAGAAGTAGCCTGGGGAAACCACAGAAAACCCATGCCGGTACAGGCGGTTCCTCTATTAGCAACCTCCCGCTCGCCGGAGCCTTCCGTTGAAAAATTCGGTTCCACGGGGAATCGAACTCACAACCTTTCGCACACTAGACTTGCGTCTAATCCACTCGGCCACCGACGTCGGTATGTCGGCAATTGTTCCATGATTAAATTAAATAATTAATTAATCGATATTGAAATGAGCAAAATAATAATTTAATTTTTAAGGAATGTAGCCTCTCTAAACTGTACATATTTCTTAGTATAAGAGTGGTGGGTGCGTGTGGTCTGTATGCAGTTGTTTATGCTACAGTCGACGTCACCGAATACCATAGAGAAGAAACACATGGTACTTGAGGTCTCTACGAAGGTCTCTATTGTCGAAGGTTAGTCTACTCCCGAAAAGCGTGAAGAGAGGACCACTAAAATAAATGCTCAACTCCAACTCAATCTCTGTGATTGGTGTCAAAGTTATTATTTCCTTTTCCCTGATCCCATAATTTCCAATAATCGAATCATTTATTGAATCATCATTACAGAAAATATCTAATAAATGTTGACAAAAAAATGTCAGCGGTATTTCCAATAATTGTCTCAATCACGGAAAAAAAATACTTGAATTGAGTATATTTTATAGGCAATTCCAGTATTTTTTTTTGTGATATAATAAAAACTAATGTATACAGAAGTAAAATCATGGGAGGATCGGGGCGTGGTGACTGAGGTAGTGCCTCGAATCTCCTGCCGGCTGAGTGAGGCCTCTGGAGCCAATGCGATACAGAATTGCAACTGGCAACTGTTGCGATCAACGCACGCGCAGAACAGGAGCTTCCAACCCGTTGCACCACGTTCAATGACGATCCTCCAATTTCTGTTATTCCTCAGGATTCCCAGGTTCACATGGCCATCCTAACAGAGATGGTTTGTCTCCATGCTCAGTACTGCTCCCATTCATCTCCAGAAGCCTCGGGAGCATCTCCTGTCGCGTAATCGGAGAAGCGAACAGTTCTCGTCCCCTCGAAGTTCTGAATTCCACCGGTTTCTGGTGGACTGGAAGCCTCGACGGACCGATGTTTCTTCAGAATCGTTTCAATATCGAATGTAGGGAGACTGAAATGGGTATATTTCAGGGCCAGTGCCATGGGGTTTACAGTCGTGCATTGTTAAAAAAATTTGACTGAATTTTCCAGAATAAGGCCCAGTTGCACCAGCTCAGGGTAACAGGTTACCCGGGAGAGTCCTATTTACTAAAGATGAAAGAAACGTGAAGTTGTTTTATGTCGAAATATCTCGAAACTGCCGGACCGCTAATCCTTAATTCTGTTTGGTCAATATGTGACACGAAGTTATTCACAAAAAAAACACGCGGCATTTTCAAATTCTTCAGTGACATAATTTCAAATTCTTCAGTGGTAAATTTAATATTTTTTTCACGTCATATATATATACACAATTCCACAAATTCCACAATTTACATAAATTTTCAACTGAAAATGAATATTTACTGTCAAATTCCCTGGAATTGAAGGAGAGATTTCTTCGGGGAATGATGAAACTGAAATTGACAGTTGCCACGTTTTTTTTATATGAAATGACGAATTTTCAATGACAAAATTCGTTAAAATTTCAGTGGACATGTTACTTGTGAGAAATACCAGAAATTTCAGTGGAAAATTTTTAACAATGCGTGAAATTGGTATCCGCGCCGAAGACGAGGATTGGCCAATCACACGAGCAAAAAATCGTGAAAAGCAGTACCAAAAAAATCACACGGATAGAAATGTTCGGTAAAAATTACAGAACTCACAATTCGCTCACCGATTACGGAATAGACTCAGAAAATTTAAGTGATGGTGTCGTAATTTTTCACAGGAAATCTCCTATCGTAAAAAGGAGAAAGGAAATCGATCTCGAAATATCTCGACAATCTCGAATAAGCGTAATCGTAAGACTAAAACCGAAGCGCCACTACGTGAGGAGATGAGAGGGCGCGTGCGCAGCACGCGCGGCCGATCTCGTTCAAATAAAAATTACGCAACGCTCTGGAAAAAATCCGTAACAATTCCGTAGAATTTCCTACAACCACATTTCGCTCCGGAATCACGGAAAAGATACGTAATTTTTATTGAATATTTCTCTCCGTGCATTGGATTGTTGAACTCAAAGTTTATCTTCACGAGATGTCGATTGTCGAAGAGAGAAACTTACGTTTCACCTGGAAAAACTCGTTCTTGGAGAAGAACGATATCATGCCGAACATCGGCTAATAGTAGAAGGAAGAAGTCGAAATTTCCTGCACTCCCTTTCTGGCCCCTCTGACCCTTATCACCGGGTTCACCCTTCTGTCCGGTGACTCCGACAGGTCCTGAAGGTCCCTAGAAAACCAATCGTCGGATTTTCAAAGCTAATTATTACATTAAATAAATTGAGTAATTAAAATGTGGAAACAAATTATAGATTTTGGTAAAAGCGAAATGATGGAAAGGGTCAAACGGGAGAGCCGAGCAAACCGATTGATTGTTAATGAGTTTTGTTAACTACTAACGAACGGTGGAGTACTATAACAAAATGAATATTTGCTAGTAGTTAAGGTGTTCCGTGTGTAGATCACCGGGGAGTGAAACGGAAGGAGAGTCTTATTGTTCTCGAGCTCTGATACAATCGCTGAGCACGAAATTTTCAATTTTTCAAGTAACTATTTAAGGATAAAAAAACAGCCATTTTTTTCTTTTTTTACGTATTCTTTAAATGATGGAAAAGGCATGTGTAAAGTTTCAGAGCTGCTATGGTAGCATTTACAATAGGTCCACGCTGACATTTGCAGAAGGCCCCGCCACTCTGCACAAAACTATCCAGAACCGAGTAAGTTTTATCCCCCACATTATCTGCAAAAGCAGCTGAGGCCGTGTGGATCTCGTCGCTGGTGGTACTGGAGGCACTTGCACGTGCCTCTGTCCCGGGTGATGAGTACATCGAAAGTTTCACAGCAGTCTCTAGGGCCGATATTTTCTCCTGAAGTTTCTTCACCTATCAAAAATCATGTCACAGCTCAGTTCAAATTCAATTCGATACTAGAAAAATTGTCCAACAAATCAAGTCAATTTCTCTTTAGTATTGGGCACAAAAAAAATTTATAGAAAAACCTAGCGAATTCGCTAGATAATTCAGTAGCGAAGTGGGAAATTTTTAAAATTTTTCATCAAAAATTTCTCTCCGTGTAGTAACACCAGATACTATTACACAATAACACAATATACTATTCTAGCACAAACGATTTTGTTGGCCCAAACAAGTTTTGTTTGAGAACTTGTTCGCTTTCGCTATTTTTCAATTGTACCTGTTGTTGCAGTAGAGAAACAGTTCCACAACTGGGTAAACAATTGTCAAGTTGTTCTGCTTGTCCTTTATTACTTGTAGTCCCAAATTTTCCACAAGTCCTGTTGTCTTCGTGAAGAGAAAAGCCCTCTCTACATTTACAGATAAAATCGCCTGGTGTGTTCACACAAATTTGTTCGCAGTCGTGAGTCCCTTCCGCGCATTCATCGATGTCAACACACGTTGGCTTTTCCCCTTTCTTCTGACGCTCTGGATTGAATCTATACTCAGAAAAGTGTTTTTTCAAGGCCCGAGTGGATTATCTTTCGAACGTGATCTTATTTTTTTTTATTTTGATAATCTGAAATGATCTCCAATTGCTATTCAGTTTTACATGCACGTATGAAAAAATCGGATAGAAATTTTCTATACGAATTATTTCTATACATAAATTTTTACATAAATTTTTGTTCTCATACGAAAGATGTCTAAACGCTCCAGAGAAAAACGTAGAGAAATGTCGCAACCGTACTTCATCTTCAATGAAAATTCCACTCCATGAAATATTCTCACGTGCAACATATACTTTTTCGGCAGAGCTAATTTGGTTTCTGAGTGAATATTATCAAAAATGACAGCCTCAACAATAAATTCCAAATACCGATATCCATTCCAACAAGTGCACACGACCCTTCGGAGAATGACGTCACAGCGCTGTTCGCACAGATTAAGAGTGCAGGGATCAATGTCCTTGGCAATACACTTGCCGCCGATTAAATTGAATCCTGGACAGCAGTGCGCCCTCGTGCAATCAACCCACTTGCCCTCCGCATTCGAACACTTGTATTTAACGCGGAAAGCATTTTTCGATGGACACTCGAGGGTCTCGGAGGAGGCTGTCAAGCCTGGAAGACTTTCCGCGGTCGAAGAAATCACGTATCCTTCGTCGGATATTTCTTTTTTTATTTCTTCACTTCCGAAACCCCCGAGTATCAACGACAGTCTGAAAATAAATAAAAGAAAACAGACGAATCAATCACAAATGTAATTCTTCAATTTTGCAAAAATTATAAATATAGATTCTCTTATTTTATTCAATTGAAAATGAATAGAAAAATTATCTGGAATTTATTTTAATGGAGATATTTATTCATATGAACAGAAAAATAATTTCAGTATTTTTTATGGTAATAATAGTTGGAATATCCTTGCTTTGGTTGATTACAATAATGAAAAAATTGTATATAATTGTTAAAAATCATTCATTAAATAATTGTTAATTACAAAATAATTTAAAAAATCAATAGAAAAATTATCTTCAATTTTTCAATCAAAATTGTTGAAATGTTTTGATTACAATCGATAAGGATTATAAAAAAATTCAATTAAATTATTGGAAATTGATTCTAAAAAAAGCAATTAAATTAAAGTTACGAAAGATATGTACTCACATGAACAGAACAACAAACACAATATTTTCCATAACGAAAACAGTTGCAATATCCTTTTTACAGTCAATTATAACAATCAAAAAATAGTATAAACTTTTTGAAAACGATTCTAAAAAAAATGCTGTATTATAACACAATCTCAATGCATTTATACTCGTATAACGCAGTGACTCGCTGGTTGCGTTCAATTCCGAGCCATTCTCCATGATTCTGGTGCGCTCAGTCAGCCCCTCTTCACAACTCCTAAACAGCAAAAAAACATGAAAAACGAGAAAAAACGTTATGAGCCTAATTGAATGCGATGCATGTTTCTTTCTATTTTTGAATGACCCCAAGTACTCTTGGCGAGTCCCTCAAACCCCTTCCCAGCGCCATCTCTCGTGTGTCTCGGATTCCATTCCATTTACCACCTGTCGAGAAGGGAAATTAGGTAATTTTTGCAGAACTGATACAGATGGCATCAGGGGGTCACACATTCCATCTGCCATTGAATAAAGATAGTCAGATGCGGAGATGAAAAAGCGTCACATGACCGGTCATATGACGGTCATGTGACCGTCATGAATGGTCATTATGTCCGTCATGAATGGTCATTATGTCCGTCATTGTGCATCTGATCGATATACAGATGTTTTGACAACAATTCGCTTATAAATTATTCGTGACCATCATTTGTAGTTAGAAAATTGGTCCGTCACATGACCGTCATTTTCGGTCATTTGACGCGGTCTGAAAAATGACGGTCATTTTGCATCTCCAGTCAGATGCATGCTATCCTTGTCTGATCCATTGAAATGTGGATGGCCACCTGGCGCTATTAGTTCGTGAATTGGCCGAAAAACTCTCCAACTGGGGTGCCCAAAAAGCGTCGAAATCGTCGAAATATAAGTGACTCACAACTCTCCGAAATTACGTAACAATGATAATAAACGGAACAGTAAGACCGGGCAGGTACGGGTGTGATTGTTGAGACAACCTAAAACCAAAACTCTGAAGCAAAAATGCAGTGATACTCTAATTCTGACTATGAGAACTCGACAACCAGTGAGTAAATAGAATATTGGAGATAGCCAAGTGGTGAATATTAGAGATAGCCAAGTGGTGGGAGAGTCCCAGTTGTGAAATTCAGGATTGAATTGTCAGAAAAATATTTTTTTTGGGTTTTTTGATAGTCCAAATGTTACCGTTTTGATGATTGGGCTCAATCAAGATCGGTTGATTGGGATGAAATAGAAAATAATGGATTGAATTAATATTAATTATTGCAATTAGAAAAAAAAATTAATTATCAATTATTGATATTGTTGAATGTGAGATACTGACAATTCTGACTGTAGACGTTTTTCTAACGATAAATTACACACTTTCATCCAAGTAGTGGGATAAATGAAATTTATTGTCTAGAAAATCCATATTTGGAATTTTTTGAGATAACAAATGTTCAATTCTTGTTGATTGGGATTAGATAAATCTGTTGGAAATAGCAAAATTGAAGATAATGAATTGAATCAATGTAGTTCCCTTATGATATAGGGGAGGTAGGGGCAAAGCGGACCCTCTAAGCGAATCGTTTAGTTTTTTAAATTCTAATGAGTCAATGCACTTCACGTGGAGATCATAATCTCATTAGAATTGCAATTAAGATCTGTCATTAAATTTAAAAAAAAATTAATGTTGGGGCAAAGTGGACCCTCTGTTTTTTAAAAATTATTTTAATTTTCCGTTTGTCAGGAGTCATTGTCATGTTGTTCTACCGATTGGATAGAATGTAATCGCTGTCGATCAAAAACTCACATTTTTTGTTCACAATTAGATCCGCAGGAGCTCACACAAATTTATACTTGCCCTCATTGCATATTTTTTTAGTCAAGGTAGTAAATTTCACTTTATAAAACGTATTAGAATAATTCTGGCGACTCGATTCAATAATTTATGTGAGGGCCCACTTTACCCCACACTTTTTTTTTTCGAAGGGGTCCGCTTTGCCCCGGGGGTCCGCTTTGCCCCTACCTCCCCTATACCCTATTCGAGTTTTTACATATTTGCGATTTGATGGGCTGACTTCCTCTCCAATCGTATCGCATTGTACCCCAGGAGCGCTAACCCCACGTATACTCTCCTGGTGACCAAGGGAAACCAGGGAAAATGTTTTTCTACCATTTCTCCGATGATTCTCGGTGTCTAGACTTCCGTTCGACGGTTTCCGAAAGATTAAAAATCCCAATTGCCCCAAGCCGGATTCGAACCCATGCCTCCCGGCTCCCGCCGTCCGGCTAAGCGATTTAACCACTTTGGCTACCGTCGCCGGTATTGAATTAATATATTAAATCTGAAAAAAATGGAAGAGGTTACTTTTGGAGGAAGATGGATAAAATAAGTAAAAAATTGCAATTTTTCAAAATCACGAGCATTTTATACAAATAATTTATGAACAATCAATTTTTCACCATAAAAATCATTCGTTCGTAATCATAGCAAATTTATTCACATTCAGAATTTTACTAGGAATCGATTTCATGCCTCAAAAAATAAGGTTTCTGAAAGTTCTAACAATTTCAATTATTTATTTATAAATGACGAATGTTAAAAAAATAATAATTCGGTGTTAAATATAATTTGACTGACGCTGAATAATCATTTTTTTCAAAATTCTCTCAGTTAATTTAATCGACAAATTTGATGATTGAAAATGGTTGAATCTATAGTGTGGTACAGTAGACTCTCGCTAGTTGCACATCAAAAGGGCTGTAGGGGTACCATTTCCAAGAAATGAGCAAGGTTCAGCCGGTTCCACTCCTCAACCAATGCCGATCCAAGTTCTCAGAAAGATGAAGGGAAAGAATAGTTTTATTTTCGAATCCAATTATTTGGACCTCTGTGTTTACGTACGAAGGCCAAAGGAATGCGTTAATGCGACCGAGAGCGGGGGCCAACTCTCGAGCGTTCGAGAAGGGGATTAGAGGAAAACGAGCAACTAGCGAGTCTACTGTACTTGAATATTCTTAACAGTCTGCAACCCTGTTATTTCAGAATAAACCAAGAGCACGTGTGTCCTCCCGCCAAAAATGCCGAAACTCTGGTCATACTTCGTATTCCTCCTCTGGGTATCCTACCTGATGGCCGGAGGCCTCTTCCTCTTCATCGACGGATTCTTCTTGACCCGCATCTCCCGCCCCGAGAAAACCAACTGCACCCCCTGTCTCTCCTGTTCCCCAGAGTCCCTCCTAGAGAACCTCACTTCCTTCCCAGACATCTGCTTGCCGCCCAGAGCGCGAGTTGTTCTCCTGGTGATCGACGCACTGAAATATGACTTCCTGAAGTGGACAGACAGCCCTCCAGACGTTAACTTCCACCGGAACAAAGTTCCAATCGTCCACAGACTCCTGACAGAGGAGCCCACCAATGCCAGACTATTCAAGAGCATCGCGGATCCCCCGACGACGACGATGCAGAGGATAAAGGCCTTGACCACTGGAACCCTCCCCACCTTTATCGACATCAGTTCAAGCTTCTCAACGGGAGAGATCGACGAGGACAATCTGATCGAACAGAACAACAAAAATGGCGTCGTCTTCATGGGCGACGACACCTGGACAGGATTATTCCCAGATAAATTTCTGAGACAATTTCCTTCCCCCTCATTCAACGTTTTTGATCTAGATACAGTGGATCGTGACGTCAGAAATCGAATATTCTTCGAACTCCAGAGAAAAGACTGGTCTTTGTTGGTGGCACATACCCTGGGGGTGGATCATTGCGGTCACAAACACGGACAGAATCATCCTGAGATGATCAGAAAGCTGAATGAGACGAACGAACTGATCAATGAGATTGTTCAGGTTCTCGATAATCACACGGTTCTGTTCGTCGTTGGGGACCACGGAATGACGGAATCCGGGGACCACGGCGGGGATTCCCCCAGCGAGGTGGAAGCTGCCATGTTTGTTTACTCGAAGCGACCTCTGCAGGATCAAACTCAGATGGAGAACTTTAGAACTGTCAATCAGGTGGACATTGTCCCGACGTTTTCGGCTATTTTGGGGACGCCTATTCCGTTTTCTAATATTGGAGCTGTTATACTTGATGCTTTGCCGAAATTCAGGAATGGAACGGTTTCGGAGCATCCTTGGTATACGGTGAACGCTGTGTGGAGGAACGTTGTCCAGACGAAAAGGTACTGTTTATCTTCAATTTTTTTTTAATTATAGCGAGTTTGATATTTAAAAAATGTTAATATTTAAAAAACGAAAATTTTTATAGAAATATCAGTAGATTTTCATCTTTCTATACAAGTTTTTCTATCATTATATCTTGAAAGAACTTTGAACATTCAAGTCGAGTTTTTACAGAAAATTTTTTCATCACTTTGTTACATTGTTAGTTCATTTTTTTTGCAGAAAAGCATTAATTCATGTCTATAGTACATTAATACCTTATCCAATAATTATTTTTCTTAGAAAAGCGTTATTTATTTTATTCTGAAGCTGAAATGTGAAATGTGAAATGTTCCACTTCGCAGTTGCTTGCTCACTGACTGCCACTAGTTATAGAAAAATGTATATCAAAGAGCGAGGAAAGAAAATGGAGTAAAAACGTAGGAGAAGAGAAACTTCGCAGTCACCACGAGGGCCCACGGGTCGAGTTTTTTACTAAAAAAAAATAAATTCTGAATCGTTTCGAGCTAAATTTTCGTTTCAGTCTTGAGACCGTTTACGGCATAAAATCCCAGATTTACGTAGAAACAAAATGTACCTTCAAGTTTATATTCTATCGACGAATGATATAATAACTCATAATAATTAATAGTTCAATTTGATACGAAAATTGAGAAGACTGTTTGCCTCGCAACAGGTACATCGAAGCTTACTCATCGGACACCTATCTATTCACCGAAGAGAAGCTAGAAACGCTTGACAAACTCTACAAAGACCTCCAGGAGCACCTGAAGAACATGACAGACAACAAGAGTCTCCACACCTTCCTAGAAACCTCCACCACCTACTTCAAGTACCTTCGAGACTCGTGCCTCGAAATCTGGGTGCAGTTCGACGCGAACCTGATGTCCCAGGGTCTCGTCCTCTCCTTCTGCATCCTCTTCTTCATGTACCTGATCCTGACTGGAATCCCCCAAGCCAGAATGCTGAAGATCCTAGAATCATCATTCCTCCGGATCTCCCTCGCTGGAAACCTCGCAGGAGCCTTCATAGTCTACACCCTCTACTCCCTGAAAATCCTAGAAGACTTCAAGAACACGAACTTCTTCGTCTCCGGAGTGATCTCCGTGTCTCTCCTTGCGATCCTCGTGATCCAGAATTGGGACGTCATATCAGACACGTGGTACACCAACTCCAAACACAAGAAATACAACTACTTCCTGAGGGTGATCCTGGGGCTGACTATCTGCGGATTATTCTCCAACAGCTATGTAGTGCACGAGGACAAGGTCCTCTCGTTCCTCCTGATCACCCTCATCTGGGTGCTGGTTTACACGATCAATGACGAGCCTGAGAACCTTGAGAAGAAGCACAAGAGGTCGAAGCCTTATCAGCAGAGGATCTTCTTGATCACCTTGGGCTTCATCATCTCAGTGTCGATCAGGGCCTCCAGCTACTTCTGGCGGTGCAGGGAGGAGCAACTGGGCGACTCCTGCACCACTGTCATCCTGGGAAAGGTGGGGTCCATGACGTCCAACAACTTCGAGAGAGTTCTTCTGATTTTTACACTCGTTGGATTGGCGTTGTACATCACAATCGTCAGGATGTGGCTGTCCAACTGTGGTAACTTGTCTGGATTCTCCCCCAGCACGACTTTGGCGAGGTACTGCCATCCCCTGATGGTGGTCTGCATGGGGAGCTACTGGGTTATTCAGAGATTACCCAAAGATCCTAGAATCAAGTTTGTCTTTGCCTGGCAGATGAACGGCTTTGCTCTCGTCGTCTACTGCTGTGTCATTCTGGCTGTTGTTGTGATATTTGTTAAACCACTGCAAGTGTTTCTGCTGCCCAGGAATCGAGACAGTCTCAATGTTTATCAGGGGGAGAACATTGTTCCCAAGTTGTTTGATAAAGTTAAGGAACTTTTTTATAACAGAAAACGAGACGGGGAGGATGATATTCCTGTGGTTTACGGGCTTGGGACTGTTTACAGTGCTGCTTTTGTATCACTTGGGGTTTTTGGGAGTTTGATTTATGCATTGCTGCTTGGAAACGTTCTAGCTCCAAGTGTCTTGCTGCTGGTGGTCACGGGGACTGTCGTGCTGGGGATTGTTGCGGTGGAGAGGTTCAGGAATGCTAATGATATTAGTGAGTATTTAATTTGAGGGCTTCAGTATTTCAGTCACTTCATTGATGCTACGAAAGTTTTCTTTCTACTCCCGATTGCCGCCAGAATTAAGAAGAAGAATTCGTCAATTGTATTTCGCTATTCACAGGAACAAAAATATGAGGTCCATAAATTATTTCGGAGTTGTGTGATTTTCCTTTCCAGGTGAACTCATGCACGTGCCGGACACAGCAATTTTCTGCTGGTTCCTCATTGCCGAGTATTTCTTTTATGGAACTGGGCATCAACCGACGTTTCCGACCATTTATTGGGATGCTGCGTTCGTTGGAACTGGAGGGCATTACTATGGAAATATTATTCCAGCTGTTTTGATAGGTAATTTCGTTTGATGTCAATCATAGAGAAAAAAAAGTTTCGAATTTCAGAAACATGTCACTGATTTTCCGAGACTTTTCAGTGATAAAAATGACTGAAAATCGCTGAAATCAGTGTTCCTAAAAATCAAATCTTTATTTCTCTGTAGAAGAAAGGAAAAATAGAATGAAAAAAAATAGAAAACGTGAACCGAAGGATTAAATTTGTTACGAATACAAACAAATGATTTTTAGTCATTGAGTGTTTTCAGAAAAAAAGGAATTCTAAAAATGATTGTTTTATGTCTAACTTATGAAATCAATTATAGTTGTCATGAACATAAGAACAGGTTGATGATGTGTTCTCTGTAAATGACTGTTTTTAAACCTATTCTCATTTTTATCTTAATCTCCATTCTTTAAATTTCTGTTTTAGGAATAAATACATTTGGCTCACATTTACTAATGGGTCTGACTCTTCCCCTCTTGATCATCTCGCCATTCACAATTTTCGTGATGATTCCAAAATTAGCGAAAGTGAAATTCCGAGTTGACGAGGACATGAAGAGAGGGGAATTGATTCTCTTCGACAAAGATAGTGCATTTCAGACTGCTGTGTTCAACACATCATCAAGATACCTTCTCTTCCACGGATTCCGAGTGTTCGCTTGCATGTTTGCAGCGACGATTCACTGTCGTCACCTCATGGTCTGGAAGATCTTCGCTCCAAAGTTGATTTTCGAAGGGTTGAGCTTTCTCGTCACCCTCGGGAGCATTCTCGCCTCATTTTTCCTAGTTATAAGGATTGATAATCAAGTGGAGAAACTCATAACTAGAGTGACGAAAGCCAGGTGATAAGTTTAATAAAAAAATTCAAACGTGAAGACAAGAATCAGTAACTTTAGGTGAAACAAGTGAAATTTGTGATTCCTCAGGCGATTTACCAGACTCAATTTTTACGGGACTCTGTAATAATCCCAACAGTTGTATTTTAATTAATGATAGGCTGATTCATATTGTATAGTATTTCAACGTGAATTTTTTCACACGTATACTCAATTTTTCTGTTTTTAAATAAAGAGTCTTGTGACGAATGGAAAAAAATCACGTTTCGACCTTTTTCCTTACGCATTTTAGAAAATTTTGAAAATATTTCTTCACAACTTTTTCGAGCGAGACATTTTGCATAGAAATTCCTTAACATAAATATTCAGAATTTTTTTTTTCATTTTTACCCTTTTATAAAAAAATCGAACGAAAAAACTTGAAAAATTTAATCTGAGAAATTTCTGAGAAAAATGTTTGAATAGAATACGTTTTATAGAAAAATCAAAGTCTGTTGATTTTTTCTGTAAAATATTTCCTATTAAACCGGAAGCATCGGTGAAATAGAATATTCAATAATATACAAAATGTTTCTGTTTTTAAATAAAAACAAATCTTGTGACGAAAGTTTCTTCACAACTTTTTCCATTGAGAAATTTTCCACATGAATTCCTTGACACAAATATTCTGAGTTTTGCTCACTCAATTTTAGTTTTTCTCTCATTGAACAGAATCAAACAAAAAACTTAGAAAATTTGATGCGAAAAATTTCTCTGAAAAACATTTCAATAGCGTAAATTATCTAGAAAGACGAAACTCTACTGATTATTCTATGGAATAGTTTCTATCGGACATGTTCAATAAGAAAAAAAAATGAAATTTTCCTAATTTGTTGAAGTTGAGGGCGGCTTTGCAGATACGGGGCACTGGCGTGATAAGGCCCTGAGTCAAGGGGCGCTGATATTTCTTTCTTTTCATTTGCTGTTTCTCCTCTTCTATTCTATTTTATTTTATTTTTTTTTTGTCAGTGTTGCAGGTGACCGATGGGGTTTCCACGGGCTAGGGGCTACTAGCCACTCAAGGCCTCACTGACTCGTATAGAGCCGGAGGGGGTTGTTTGATTGATGTTTGGGGGATTTCCAGCTAAAGATAGTTTTGCGAGGGCATTGTGTACATACGCATATATATACATAAGTTGTTATTTACATTCAAAGTTTATATAAGTCGCCACGCCGTTTTCCACGTCACTCTACTTTGCATGAGATTTGTACCAGCTATGCTGTCTTTCTCGAAATAAATAATAATAATAAAATAATAATAATAGTTCCAGAATCTAATAATTTGTCTAATAGAATTTGCTATCGAATTCGCAAAGTTTTTGTATTAATTTTAATCCCCAAATCGTTGCGTGTGAACACACGAACGCTACCCTGCGTGCAATGCATTGCAGCTTGTATTGACACTCGCAACGCACTTGATGCAGGATTGCGTCAGTATGCTATTGTTGACCCGAAGATCCCAGTTGTTGAATTAATAATGGAAAAAGAAAAATCAGCTGATTAAAACAAAAAGAATGACTTCAAATGCTAACGACTTTTATTATCGATAATAACTCATGAATTTTACATGATATCAATTAATCTAACTCGAAATTACTCTGTACTTTGCTAGTTTACGGTTTATCCATTTGTGTGACCTATGACGTGGAATCTCTCCTAATGATGGTTGTGATGATGTCTGTGACCATCGTTCTGGCTCTTGAGGCTCTCTGCCCACTCGGTTGCCCACTGCTTGCCCCAGTCCTCGTAGTCATTCTGCTGAGATTCCTGGAGTAAAATAAAGAGGATCGTCATCAGGAAAATAATGGGGACAATGGGGTGTAAAAAAAAGATAGGTAATATGATAAGAAATAATCCCGATAGAATGAGTTCTATGGAAAGATCAATATTCATACACGTGAAAATTACATGTGTTCGATAGAATGCGCACAAAAAATCGAATTTTCTAATAGGATTTAATACAGAAAGCGCTAGGATTTTCTATGATTTTTTTTACGTGGAGGGAGGGATTTTGTTAATTAGGAAGACTGATTTCTGTACTGAAGTGGTACAACATTCCATGAAAAATGTCGGAATGCGCGAGAAAGTTGAACTTTTTACGAAGATATTCATAAAAATCGCACACTTGAGTAACAGTCATGAAAGAATTAATCGGAAATTCTGTGAGGAAAGTGAAATCTTCATGCTATCCTCCAAAATCAATCAGTACTGAGATCACCAGAACTATACCACTTCAATCCAAATTGAATCATCAGAATTTTCGAGAATAACCAAGAGACTAACATTTTCATATCCCGATGAATCTGCTGGAGGCATTTGTATCTGAAATCATATTCCCAGTTTCAAGTCACAATTAAAACAAATGGGAAATTTCTCTCATCAGGATATAGTCAATATATTTTTGCTAATAAGTTGGGCATTTGCTTCCGGATGGAATTTCTATGGTGATGAATTTTAAATTGAATTCAACGATTCATTGAATTCAACATTGCTTCAATGTTGGCGGCCAACATTACCCCAACGTTGGCAGCCGACATTACTTCAACATTGGCATTACCACAATGTCGCTAGCCAACATTGTCCCGACGTTGGTATTACTCCAATGTTGATAGCCGACATTACTCCAACATTGGCATTACCCCAATGTCGGTAGCCAACATCGTCCCGATGTCGGTTGCCAACATTGCCTCAATGTCGGTAGCCAACATTGTCCCAACGTTGGTTGCCAACATTGCCCCGACGTTGGTATTACCCCACTGTTGATATCCGACATTGTCCCAACGTTGGCAGCCAACATTACTCCAACATTGGCATTACCCCAATGTCGGTAGCCAACATTGTCCCGACGTTGGCTGCCAACATTGCCTCAACGTTGGCAGCAATACCCCAATATTGGTAGCCAACACTGTACCGACCTTGTTTGCCGCAATGCCCCACCGTTGGCAGCCAACATTGCCCCAAGGTTAAAATTTTTGGACTTTCCCTAAATATTGGTTTCAAAATAAGTTTTAAACAACAGATGATTCAATCGATCTCATGATCGAACTCGATCAAAATGACATTGGGAAGAATATCGACTTTAAATTACATCCTATTTATTTCCTCCTGAGGCCAAAATAAGTTATCCTCACACGAAAAATTAGAAATTTCGGATTTGACGAATACAATGCTCCCATTCAGAAGCAAAATCACTATTCCCGTCATAATATTCCCCTTAACCCCGACAATCATGAGAAAAAAACTTACGAAAAGTTTGATACCGCCCCCCTGGTGTCCGGGAACAGACCCCCCACCAGCCTGAACAGTCTCAATAGCTCCAGGAGGCATGCTCTGGTACCCCTGGTGCATCGCCATCTTGACTCCCCTCTTCTCGTGCTTGCTCCCATCCTCGCGATCCTTATCATAGTAATCCTCATCCTCGACGTTCCTCTTGGCAGCACTGGAGGGAGAGTAGCCCCCAGGGTAGGCACCCCAGAGCCCCGGGTAAGGATAAACAACCGGTGCGACGGGTGCCTTGTCCAAGCTGTCCAACTTGGCCTTGATGGCGTCCAGAAGAGTTGTGTTGAAAGTCATGACAGCGCCTGAAGAAAATGGAGCGGGGGCTGCAGCTGGTGCTTCAGTAACTGAAGCAGATTTGACGGTCTCCTCGATCGCTTGAGTTATGTTCTTCTGCATTCCCGTTAACATATCGAAGAGCTGAAGATTGAACAGTTGCATCGTAAATTTCTCAGGTTTCTCTCGTGGGTAAAACAGAAAAAATAAAGGGCCCTTATTTGGACCCTTAATCTGACCCTAATGGCCCTTATTTCGCATTTATAACTCTTATTCTGACCCTCATGACTCTTGTGACCCTTAATCTCACCCTAATGACCCTTATCTCTCATTCTGCCCCTCATGATCGTTGTGACCCTCAATTTCGAGTACCAATTTTTTATCACCAGAAGTTAATTTGAGAAATCCAATAGAATTGTCTATCGAATTCGCTACGTTTTTCTACAAAATTTTTTCATATGTATTTTCATTCTCGGGCGAGGGGCTGGCCATTCCTTGAAAATCTAGCGAATTCACTAGAAAATTCTATTGGAATTCTATAGGAATTCTATGCGGTTTCTACAGGATTTCTATTGGAATTTGATTGAAAAATTCTATTCGTTTTTGGCGCTGATTGGATATTCCATACGAAAAAGTCAATAGATTTCGAATTTCTGTTTGAATTGTTCTCTTGAGATTTCTTCTATAGGAATGCTTGGGCATCAATTTTCCAAGTTTTTTCCACTCGGATTCTGCAATGCAAAACAAAACAAAATCCAGCGGAAAAAACTTGGAAAATTTATGCTCAATAATTCTAATATGAAAAATCTAAGAGAAAAATTTAAACAGAAATTCGAAATCTATTGACTGTTTCTTATTGAATATCCAGTATAATCAGCGCAAAAAACAAATAGAATTTTTCAATAGAATTCCAATAGAAATCCTATAGAAATCTCATAGAATGCCTATAGAATTCCAATAGAATTTTCTGGCGAATTCGTTAGGTTTTCTGTTGAATTTTTTCATGTGTGCAGCCCCGAGTCCTCGGGTCTTCATACACAAATTACTCGAGAATAAAATGCAGGCGTATCAAAGATACACCCGTAATTGTACGTGGATACGTCTATGATCTTTCCTTCTTTCTCGAATTTCCTAGGAATTCCTTGTATTCCCTCAAATTTTCTGGAAACTCCTTGAATTTCCTCGAAATTTCTGAAAACTCCTTAAATTCTTCCAAAATTTCAAGAAAATTCTCGAATTACCTCGAAATGTCTAGAATTTTGTGGAATTCCGATAGATGGCGCTGCGCACAAGGACCGTTTCCCAAAATGACCCCCATATTGAAGCCACAGACGTATTCACGTCAAAAAAGATCAATAAATTAGCGAATAAATAAAGACCTGGCTGAGCATCATCATCTTCTGCTTGAAGGGGAGCATCGGGTCGACGGTTGGCGGAGCGAACAAAGCGGCCCATGGAGACAAGGGCTTGCCAGCCTTACCAGGCTTGGTGGCCTTGGCGAATGGGGCAGCAGCAGCTGCCGCCTTCTGCGCCACAATCATGTCATCCAAAGTGCTCAACATGTCAGTCTTGATGGAGCCAAGCTCTCCCATTATGGAGTCAACAATGGCGTCTTTAGCTGTCTGGAGTTCGTCCACAGACCTGGCGACCACAGTCTTCGGCATCGTGGAGTCGTCAGTTGTCCCTGATGAAGAGGACAGGGTCTTGTTCAGCTTGAGACTCTCGAAGAGTTTGTCCAAGAATTGAGACACCTTGTCTGTGTACTCGGTCGGTCCTGGGATGACGGAGCTGGGGAGCCAGAAGTCCGCTGGGACGATGGTGCTCTTGGGGACGGGCATGTCGGTGACCTCGGGGGCTGGGGCGGACTCCGTTGGGACGGCGAAGGGCAGCCAGAAGCTGGGGGGAACGATTGTGCTCTTGGGGGCTGTGGGATCTGGCACAGTTCCCGGGGGGGCTGGGGTACTGGTCGCCAGGTTGCTAAAGAGGGTGCTCAGGAAGGCGGTTTTCTTGGTCATGTAGATGCTGGGATCGACCAAGGGACCTGGACCGAACGGGCCGAATGGACCGAATATTCCTGGAATGGAATGGTATTCAGTAATTGGTTCATATGTTCCTGGCATTCTGCAGCGACAAAATTCTGACAATTTGACGCGACAAATTTCTATAGAAAATATCTCAAGAACAAAGATCCAGAAAATCGAGTTCTATTGATTTTTTCTGTAGAATATTTTCCATTGAACATTTCTCATTTTTCAATACAATCAGCCGAGAACTAATAGAATTTTCTAGCGGATTCGCTAGGTTTTTCTACGAAATTTCTATTCAGAACTATGAATCCCCGCCGGCCTTCATATACCATAGAAAAAAAAGTTATTCAATAGATTTGGATTGAGATTTGTTCTATAAAAATTCCAGGTGGCTGTATACAGCTGTAATTTTATGTGGATACGTCCATGGTCTTTCCTTCTTTCTCGAATTTCCTAGGAACTCCTTGCATTCCTTCGAATTTTCTGGAAACTCCTTGAATTCTCTCGAATTTTCTAGAAACTCCTTAAGTTCCCTCGACCTTTCCAAAAACTCCCTGAATTTCCTCGAAATTTCTAGAAACTCCTTGAATGTTTTTCGAAATTTCTCGAAGTACCTCGAAATGTCTAGAATTTTCTAGAATTCCGATAGATGGCGCGGCGCATAAGGACCGTTTCCCAAAACTGACCCGCCATATTGAAACCATAGACGTATCCACGTAAAAAAAAATTTAGAGTATAAACTATCCAACTTTTTCCCTTTTATTTTTTTCTTTCCATTAAAAAAAAGAAATAAATGTCAAGAGAGTATTTTTATCCATAAATAAATTCTTAATAGGATTCCATGAGAATTCTAATAGAATTCCGATAGAATTTTTACAGACGTGTAATAGAAGTTTACGAGAATTTTTCGAAGAAGGAAATTTGTTTTTAATACGAGATGAAAAAATTTTTAATACTTAACAACATTTTTTTTTAATACGAGACACCGACCGGAATTATTAGAATAATAAATACCTGGAAGGTACTGTTTCGGGACTCCTGAAGCATCTGTCTCGGGTTCTTCGGGGATGGAGCTGAGTCCGGGGTATGGAGGTGGTGGGCCAAGATTCTTCGGTGTCTCTGGAGCAACTCCAACAATCGCGCGTTTTCTCCGAGACGAAGAGTCTTCAGTGAAGTCAGCATCGGAGCTGCCCACGGCATTGAATCCGGAGAATGGGCCGAAGGGGCCGAACTTGGGGGGCACTGGGCCAAATTTCGAGGCGAACGGGCTGAAGGCAGCCCCCGGGGGGCCGAATTTGGGTCCGAAGACGCCGCGCTTCACTTCGTTGGTGGTCTTGTCCTCTCCGAGGATCTCCTGAGGGTCAGAGGGGTCCTTCGAGGACGCGGCGTCGTTAGTGGCGTAGAGGAAGGGCTTGGCGGGACCGAAGGCCACTGCGGGGGATGGCCCTACCGGGGCGAGGGGGACTTCTCCAATCGGATACTTCACTGGTCCAAGACCTCCGAATAAGTTCGCCAGCATGTCGGTTTTTTTGGCGATCATCGCTTGAGGGTCCACAAATTTCGGGAAGAAGGGAGAGGCTTTGGGAACGTAGGGGACCGTGATCGTGCTCATTCCTGGGGCCACTGCTGGTCCCAATGATCTGGCGTATGCTGAGAGCAAAAAATTACGAATTTTTTTTTTTTGACATGTTTGTCAGTAAAGTTCATTTTTTGGAATGGCTTAATGTGCCTCAAACGCCGGTGTCGCGCACGGCGTGCGTAAAACTCAGAGGTCGTGCATAAAGTAAATTGTCGTGCGTAGAGCTTTGCTTCACCCACTTTCAGTTCACTTTTTTGCATGACCTTAAACTTTACGCACTCCGTGCAGAATAGTCTATTGTGTTACTAGTGCGTAAAGATCCACTTTTTCGCACGCACGTGCAACACATTCTATTTTTCACTACACTGCCGTAAAACCTCGTTTTACGGACACTTTTTCCCCGAGTGTCCCCCATTTTTTTCATCACAATGCGCGTGAAGTGCGGTTTGGCGCATACGGTGCGTGCGTAAAATGGCACTTTACACACAGCGTGATGAAATATAATCTATTATTAGTGTTATTATTGCATTTGGAGCTCCTCAGTTTCGTTTCGATAATTTGATGCAATGGGTCTACCTGATTTTCCAACTCCAAATGGGGCGTATGGTGGTGCGTTTGCAGCCCAGGGTAATGGTGGGCCGTAAGCAGCCCAGGGTGATGCTGGAAGGGAAAGAATATTTATCATCTTTGATGTATTCCTGGATCTCTTCTGAAATTATTGGTGTCAGGAGTGAACGTTCAATTCTAAAGATCAATTGTAGATTTTGACTGGAGTCTAACGATGACAAGGGTCGAAGGGGAGAGACGAGCAAAACAGTCGGGGGGTCAAAGGGGCATAAGGGTCTCTTCCGTTTGAGCCACTATGACAGTTTGACTCTCAGGATTGTTTCGCCCGTCACTTCTGTTTGACCCTCACACTGATAGATGAATTTATTTATTGTTAACGAGGTTTGTTAACTTTAAAAAAACCAATAGAATAAAATAGTTCACTGCAGAGACAATTCCATTGACTTTCCAAATATGTTTTCTAAATGTCAATATGTCTCTTGGAATTCGAGAAAATGATTTTTTACTGTTGACGGAATAGGTCGATACCATGCATTGACCCCGGCCGATATGACAAGTTTATGGGTGAGGGGTTAAGATGGAAAATCAAATTTATTAAAATTCCAAAAACGGCAAAGGTATTTGTTAATCTTTAGTTGGAGGTGAAGAATCGTCTCGATAATTTAAAAAATAAATAAATTACCTCCTGCCCCAGTAAAGCCAGCCCACGGGGGTGGACCCCCCTTCATCGGCGGGGGTTTAGCGGCCGCTACCGCCACGATAGCGAGGAGCGCTAGGCAAAATCGTTGGCGAATCATCTTATCACTCTTCACTGATCTGCCATCATCAAACCCCTCACCTTTTATACTCCATTCTTTTCTCTTCACCTGGCCCCCACCCCCAAACGACTCGTCGGGGATTATTTTACGTGACGTACTCTCTCATCGAAACAATTTCAGCTCATTAAAATAATCCAATACATTTCTATACCGCTGGGCACAAACACTTGGGGATTAAGTTTCTTATTACGAGAGGAGAAATTACGTATTGGGTCTCTCATATCGTGATTGGAATTTTTTGGAAATCATCATCCATTCGTTTTTTGTCATTAATGATTTTTCAAATAATTCATGAACTTTAATAATTGTTTTATGCATAAAAATATATTTTTTTGTTTTGAGAAAACGTTCACATAAAATGTAAGAAACTATTTATTTAATTTTTTATTTGCGTTAATCTAACTGACTGATACTCGTATTCAACGAATTAATATTTTGAGAAAATTATTTACTAGTCTACTATCTGCATATCACTTATCAATTGATTCGATATGTCTAGTTTATTGTCTCGATTCAATTTGAGAAGTAAAAGTCCCTTATATCCACGGTAGAAATTACCTTGAATCGACGGGAAAACGTCCCGTGTATCCACGGTAAAAATTACCGAGGTAGCGAGTGAATACACTGCCATTTACCTTTTTCATTCATGTATTTTCATTTTCATTACTAAATGGGGAAATAGAAATAAATCGTATCCGCATGGATATTCCGAATCGACTTTTCAAAAATTCAAATTCTCGGAACAAAAACAAAAATGCTCTCGTGTTTTTTTTTCGCGTTTGATATTCTACCCTCAGATGTTTTCATTGTTAAGTCCTTTATTTCGGGGATAAAAGAAGACAATCGAGTTAGTCGTCACTGTCAAGCCATGGCAAGCACAACTAATCGTGAGTAAACAATTTTTTCCTGAAAAATCTCAATAGAACAATTACTTGAATCGATAAAAAATAATTTAGTAGTCAATTGAGGGATTGGGGCTAATAAACGACTATTAGAGTAAATCAGGTCTCATTTTCACGCCTGAAAAAATATCTTCAAAATGAAAAAAAAGGTATTGAATTTCACTCTACCGATATTGAGTTATTGATGACTAAAAACGGTTCATTGGATTGGGTAATCAAATCACCTCGGAAGGGCTTGAATTTTGGGTAAAAGTCGAAGAATTTTTCTCTAGGCAATTGAATTTTTAGTGAAAAATGTCTCGCGATATTACTTTAGATTAGCGGTAGGGGGAAAGGGGTAAAATGACCCATTGAAATCATCAATAATTCAAGATCTGCAGAGTGAAACTCAAGAATTTTTTTTTTCATTTTGAAGATGTTTTTTGAAGTTTAAAAATGAGACCTAATTTATTCGAATTCCATGATTTGGTAACGAGATATGAATAAATTACAAAGGTACCTAATTAATTTAGTAGCGAAGTGGTAAAACCGTACAAGTCAATTTTGACTATTGACCAGTTTTCAATGAATATCGCGGAATCTAAAGGAGATCGCAAAATTTTTGTTATAACCTTTCTTGTGGAGCTGATTGAGAGCTGCAATAAATGTAATCACAAAAATTTCGCCACCTCCCTTAGATTGGGATATATTTCTGAAAAACTCAACTGGGAGAGAAGTCGACTGAAACCGTTTTACCCCTTCGCTACTGAATTCAATTACGTTCAATTAAATTACGATTCTTCCGATCTATTTTTTTTCCATTCAGGAAAAAATTCTTCGAACAAAAAAATGCTAATAAAAATAAATAATGAAAGACATCGTATTAAATTTACTTAATAAATAAGCAAAATGATTCAATTGTCTTCTATTGAAATGCAACTCTCCCCTTTAATTTTGTTTTTGTTCATCTCAGAATAAATTTTTCGACCAAAAAGATAGTAAAAAAAATAATGAAGGAAATGTCATTAAATTTATTCCATAAATAACCAGATGCCATTTAAATGACTCGATTTAATTTATAATATCTGAAAAAAATTAAATTAATTTTTTATCAGCAGTGGATAATAAAACCAATGAGATTCAGGAGGACCTACATGCCTTTGCCTCCCTGTGGTCATCCATGCGAGCTAGATATGAGGGGACAAACATCACGAAAACAATCGCGAGACTTCTCCACATGTACCAACCAGAGGACGGCATTCACGCGTATGAAAGACTCCTGAAAACCGTTTTCGTGTTGCTGGAGGATTTCGATGTGAATGGCCTGAGGCTCCTGGTGTCCATGGTACCTCCCCCCAAAGATGTGTCTGCAGAGATTGTCAAAGACATATTCTTCAAGGCCACTGGATTCGCTAGACTTGAAGCCCCGATGTTCCATCAAAAGTAAAAAAAATATTTTTCATTTCGTTTGTTCAAGGGTGTCACGCGGGTTTTATAAAAACAAAACTTTTTTAATTTTCTGCTTGTTCACTAAAAAAACTAACTCTTTTAGTGAACATTGAAAAATGTCATTTCTCAAGGACGTGAAGGAAACTTTTAAAGGTGCCAATGGCATTTGATGAAAAAAAAGTTTTACTCCTTCACTAATAGAGGAAAATGCATTAATCCATACGGAAAATGCTCTGCGCCGCGTGTTGAAACTCGAGAAAGCATGGGATTTAAAGTAGCTTTTTTCAAGTTTTGTGTTGTTATCGACATTTAAAAGGATTCGTAAAACCGTTTTTAATTTCTTTCCAATTTTATTACTCACAAAAAGGGAATTATTTGGATTTTTGAATTTTTGACGAAATTTAGTTTTTAGAAGAGGTAGAAAAACATTTTTTATTTTTGAGTTCTTATACTCAACTTATATTGAGTTTATTTGGTACTTTTCAAGAGAACCAGCCAGGTACTCAGTACAAGTAATAAAAATTTAATAGAAAAACCTATCGAATTCGTTAGAAAATTCTATTCAATTTTTATTAAACTTTCTATTCGCTTTGACTGATTCTATTGACATGTTCAACAGAAAAAAATCAATAAAAAAGTTAACAGAATTCGATTCTTCTATACNGCTTTTTTCAAGTTTTGTGTTGTTATCGACATTTAAAAGGATTCGTAAAACCGTTTTTAATTTCTTTCCAATTTTATTACTCACAAAAAGGGAATTATTTGGATTTTTGAATTTTTGACGAAATTTAGTTTTTAGAAGAGGTAGAAAAACATTTTTTATTTTTGAGTTCTTATACTCAACTTATATTGAGTTTATTTGGTACTTTTCAAGAGAACCAGCCAGGTACTCAGTACAAGTAATAAAAATTTAATAGAAAAACCTATCGAATTCGTTAGAAAATTCTATTCAATTTTTATTAAACTTTCTATTCGCTTTGACTGATTCTATTGACATGTTCAACAGAAAAAAATCAATAAAAAAGTTAACAGAATTCGATTCTTCTATACAATTTATTCTTTTCATATATTTTCTATAGAATTTGCTCGACTCAAATTTTCCAAGTTTTTTTCATTCTATTTTTCTTTTCTTTTCATAAAAAAAATCAAAAAAAAAACTTTGAAAATTTGGGCCGAGGAAATTCTATAGAAAATATCTCAATAGAATAAGTTATATAGAAAAATAGAATTCTATTGACTTTTTCTACTGAATATTTTCTATTGAACATTTCAACAGAATCGGCCAAAAACTAATAGAACAGTTCAATAGAAATTCAGTAGAATTTTCTAACGAATTCGATAGGTTTTTCTATTAAATTTTTTCGTCCGTGGATACTTGCAACAAGTTGTTTTGTGACTTCGAGAAAGTACAAAAATGTGCCTTTTCCCCAGAAACCTATTGGCACTGGGTACAAGTACCCGTTTCTACTGATCAAGAGTAATTTTTTTGTGTAGACTTTCAATAAAAATTCACTAAAAGTTCTTAGGGATCACTCGGGAACACTCGCTTTTCTCTACTAAATTTTAATTTTTTTGAAACCAGGCCTTGGTTAATTGGTACTCAGAGGTTTTTTGCGAGGATGTTTTTGCGAGGGGTCTTTATTTCTGCTCCTATTTTCATTATTCCAGCCAGTCTCTAATCCCAGGTGTGGTAAATCCAACTGATGACGTAGGAAAAGACGAGGGGAGAGAGCACATGAGTACAACAGCATCGATAAATATTCCTGGGGATAAAACGGTGACTAATTGTCCTCAGCTATTTTCCACTGAAATATCAACAATTATTTTCAATAATTTATGATTGAAATTGTTGCGTAGTACATCTCAACAGAAAAAAATCAATAGGTCTTTTACTTTAAATTTTTTTCTGCCAAAATTTCGCATGGTTTTACTCAGTATATCTTGGTTCGTCATGAAAAAATAGAGAGAAAACGCTACGAATAGTTATCTCTAGGAATTTTCACAGAGAAAATCTTGGCAGAATGAGTTTTGTGAAAGAATTTAATTCCTCAATTTTCTTGTAATTGCACTCTTCGGTCGAAAAGAATAAATTTCTGACATTTTTTCCATTCTATTTATCTTTTTTTTCTATTTGAAAAATCAAACAAAAAGTTTAAAAATTTGAGCCGAGAAATTTCTATAGAAAATATTTTAATAGAATAAACTGTATAGAAAAATAAACTTCTGTTGATTTTTCTCCTATAGAATATTTTCCATTGAACATTTCTATTCAGAAAATACGCGCAAATCAGTTACAAATAATTTTGTGATAGAATCGGCTAAAAATCATTAATTATTTTCAAAAAAAACCAATAGAATTTCCTAGCGAATTTGCTAAAAGTTTAAAAATTTGGGCCGAGGAATTTCTATAGAAAATATTTCAATAGACTAAACTGTATAGAAAAATAAACTTCTATTGATTTTTTTCCGATAGAATATTTTCCATTGAACATTTCTATTCAGAAAAAACGCGCAAATAAGTTACAAATAATTTTTCAATAGAATCGGCAAAAATTATTAAATATCTTTAGCAGAAATTCAGTACAATTTCGCAGCGTTTTCTCTTGGTTTCTTCATAAAATTTTTTAATTTCAGAATTGAAGATGTTTTTTACATTGCAGGCGATATCCCAAGAATTTTACCCTCCACGTGGATTTTCCGCAGCAGAAACCGATTTCATGATCAATCAGAACAGCCAAAAGCTGAATTGTTACCCCTCAAACAGTGGTCACGTGGTCGTGGACCCTGGGAGTGTACCCCAGGGGTACAAGATGAACTGGGTGCCCACTCCCTTCGTGGTACAGAACGGGAATTCCGGTTTATCTAATTCCTTTGGAGATTTCCTCGTTAAGACTGAGAATAATAAGTTTTTAAGAGTTCCAATGGCTAATGTTGGGGTTTTGATGTCTTGCAATTCCCAGAATATGCAGGGTTATCATCCATATCAGGTACTGAAGCATATTCTATTAATAAAAGGGTGAGACAAGCAGGGATACCCAAATCCATAATATAAAATTACCGTTAAATATTTTAGCCGTTTGGTTGAAGGCCCTCGGGCGATGGCCTATTGTAAGAGAGTTGTTTTTTGTGTATCTTTCTTATAATAAATTTCGTTAAAAATTAAAAATTAAATTAATTATTTTATCCGTCAATTAGTTAACATCACTCTTAAATTTTTTGATTATTTAAGTATCATCAATTTAAGGGGAGACCACTGTGAGTTTTAAAAATCGTGGGTTATTGGAGTGAGACTTTTCATGCGTTGAAAATCGATTATATAGATCTGAAAACAAATAATTAGTGCAAAAACAAATTTTTTTCATTGTTCGTTTGCCCGAAAATGCTTAAAATGCCAAAAACAGTCCAGGGCCTCCAATGTTTGAGCTACGAATGATTTTTTTTTCTCAAAATTTTCGGAAAAATATGTGGAATAACAATTACGGGCTATTTTTTTTTAATTCGCCTCTTACATGGCTAAATTTGCTTTTTTTGTATTTTTTTTACACCAATAGTAAATTTTTTTATATGAAAAAAACCTAAATCAGCTGTGTAGAAGTCGAATTCCAAAAAACTGGCTCGTAATTGTTGTTCCACACATTTTTCCGAAAATTTTGGAAAAAAAATCTTTTGTACCTTAAAAATTCGAGGCTCTGGACAGTTTTTTAGCATTTTAAGCGTTTTCGGGCAAACGAACAATAAAAAAATTTTTTTTGCACTAATTACGCGTTTTCAGATCTATATAATCGATCTTCAACGTATGAAGTCTCACTCCAATAACCCACGACTTTGAAAACTCACAGTGTCTCCCCTTAAATATTCAAATTTTCAACTATTTTATTAATCAGTAATTGAGGTAGGAAGATTGAGGATTATTAGTGTAATTGAAAATCCCCCTTTTAAGAAATTTGAATTATTCACTTGGTGGTAAATTTACAGTTCCATATTATCAAATTTTTAATTCATCATTAATCGAAAAGAAATAGATGATTAATATTGTACCATTTATAAAATTTGATCAGCATATTTTAAATCTTTATTAATGTGAGGGTCAAATCCTTGTAATATTACAGAAATTTAATATTAATGGTGATCCCTGGAACAAGGGGGAAGTCGCTTTTGTCTTCAGCACACGCACGAAGAAATTTAATAGAAAAATCTGGCGAATTCGCTGACAATTCCATTGGATTTCTATTGAATATACTATTAGTTTTTGGGTGATACTATTGAAATATTCAATAGAACATATTCTATACAAAAATCCAATAAAACTCGATTGTTCTACCTAACTTATTCTATTCAGATATTTTCTAGTTATGTTGTTTTGTTGTTTAATTTTCTTGATGAACAGAAAAGAGAAATAGGATGAAGAAAGCTTGGAAAATTTACGCCGAGGAAATTCTATAAAAAAATATCTCAAACGAATAATTTATATTGAAAAATCGAATTTCATTGACGTTTTCTATAGAATATTTTCTATTACACATTTCAATCGAATCGGTAAAAAAACTAATAGAATGTTCAATAGAAATACAATAGAATTGTCTAGCGAATTGGCTAGGTATTTTAATGCATATTTTTAATGCATAAATTAGCAATTTAGCTTCGAATGTTCATTTTGCACATAATTTTCTTCATTTATTGTTTTATATTATTTCTCAAAATCTAAGCGAAATTTTTGTCTCAACCTTTTTTGTAGCTCTCATTTTGTTCTACAAAAAATCTTCTCAGAGAATTTCTTCTATCACCCTTCAATTTCGAGATATTCATTAAAAACCAACATCCAGACAAAATTGATTTGAATCTCGTTATATAAAATCTATTCTACTTTATTAATGATAAAATTATCTCGGTAATTATCGATTTCAGGATAAAATATGAGAGCTTTTCCCCAGAAAATTGAATCCTCTGAGAAAAGTCTCTTAGTATTTCCCTCAAAAATCACTCGTTTAGGAAATCAAAACTCAAATATCAAAAATGTGAAAATAAAAAAAATTCAAATGATTTCATTTTTGTTCTTAGCTAATCCCAACTAATCGTTCAAGTTACTTATGCGAAAAAAATGACGTATCGAGTACATCCACATCCTCTCAGAATGCCCCGGCCTCCGAAAAAAATCCCCCATCCGTAAATATGGAATCCAAAGGGCCAAAAACGCAATCCAATGACGAGAATAACGAAATTTTCCTGCTCGATAATTTGACAGTCAGCAAGAGACTTGAAACTAGCATCGAACGATTTTTAACTAGAGTTAAAAATAACGTGGATTTGAACACTAAGAGGATCAATCCGACGTTGAAAAGAGCTGGAGTGTGTTCTAACGAGAGGAGAGAATTCTCTCATCCCAGGGGCATTAATTACTCTCAGAATGATGCTAATGATTGGGGGAAGAATTATTATATGAAAAACTGCGACATGGCAGTGCAAAAGAGGCAGTATTACGATTCAGTTCTCAATTTTCAACGTGCGAAGGGTAATTATTCATATATGAGAAAATTAAACGGAAAACTTGAAGATTTCTGTTGAATTTTGGTGAATTCTATCGGACGTCTGTTGGAAATTCTCTCAGTTTTCTGAAAAATTCAGTTTTTTCTTTTGTTGGAATATTCACATAAAATACAAGTGATTGGGCCTTTCGATCTATTTTTTAAATATTTTTTGGCCACAAAAGTTCCTGGAAATTTAATTTAAACAATTTGTTTTTCCCTGTATTTTTTATTTAAATTCAAGAACCAATACTTGAGAAATTTATAGTCGGGGATTTTTGCTGACAAAATACCAACAAAACAGATGATAGAGAAAAATTAAAAATGTATTGATTAAATATTTTGTTATGAATGTTTCTAAAATTAATCGAATTTTCAGGCATTTCCGATACAAATTTTCGCGGAAATCCTTCCTGAGTTTTTCCACGCATATTATGAATTTTTACCAATTACTATGATGAATTTCATACAATTATTGCTCAATATACTGAATTCTGTTACGAAATGGTGAATTATAACGAGTTAAATTCGAAATCTCTGATTTTCCCTGCATTTATCTCGAAAACGAATAGTCCTATGAAAAAATAGCAGAAGATATTTTTTAAAGCTGACAAAATTCCCGACAAAAAACGTTTTATGACATTTCCTTCTCAAACCACTCATTATCTAGATATCGTGATATTTGATAAGAATTGTTGAATTGACTCTGAGTTACATTTTTATTTATTCTGGATTTATTAAAAAAACAAGTGGTTTAGGATAAAATGTTAAAGGAATTCTTTTGCAGCTGACAAAATTTCCAATAAGAAATGTCTTACGACGAAGATTCAACATCTGAGAATTCACTTCTCAATTATTTCTAATTTCTCACTTTTCAATTATTTCCAATTTTTGTAAAAGAAATGTTTAAAAAATTATGCGTCTCCTCAACATGGATTAAACATTCGTCTCTCCCGCAATAGCTGTTACAAATCCATTGGCCCCAATGCCATCGACAAGCACATACGATTCTTCCTATTATGAATACCTGCAGCAGCAGCAGTGGATCTATCAGCACCAGCAGCGTTTAATCATGGGGCATCAGTATGCACAGAGATTAGTACAAACCGAGTTCTCAGCCCCTCGTAATCCCTACGGTCGATCCACCGAGTGGATGTCCCATTGCACAACATCCAGACACTCGCAAGAGGTAGACAGCAAAAATATTTGAATTATTGAGTTAAAAATTCAAGAATAAAAACTTGAAACCTTTGTTAATATTCACTACAGAAAAAATTCCGATGGACTCAGCGATAGCCATCTCCATAAATTATAATTACTGTTAAATAATCAGATAGTCAATTAGTTAATATCACTCTTAAATTTTAATTATTGAAGTAATCTTCAATTTATTTTGAATATTCGACCCGAAGAATAAATTTTTATTTATCCTGTAGCCCGATTTGAATTAACACTAATTTAATCTTGGGATTAAATTTTTTTTTGTCCCTGGAATAAATTTATGATACTCTCCCGGGTAAAATAATCCACCGCACATCCAAATTTGTTTTTTTCTTATCAGACGTTTTCGTTACCCGGAACTGGTGCAACCGAGCCTAAATAGTCAAATTTCGAATTATTCATTAATCAGTAATTGAGTTAGGAAGATTGATGATTATTTGGATAGTCAGATTCTTGATGATAAGAAAATAAAAATGGAATGAAAAAACTTCGAAAATTCCAGCCTAGACAATTCTATAAAAAATATCTCAATAGATTAAGTTGTATAGAAAAATCGAATTCTGTTAACTTTTTCTACAGAATATTTGCTATTACTCTACTATTTTCTCATCGATTTATAATATTTTATTTTGAATACTTCTAACGCTACTCTACCTAGGGCCCTGCCTTTACCTTTTTCTTTCCTTTATTTTATTTCAGTTTTTTAAAGAAAGTTGTACTATATATCCTTGGCTTTATGGCTTGAATAATTATGGATCAATTTTCATGGATTTGTAGCCTCCCCCCCCCAACATGAACTGTGACCAAGTCCACAAAAGTGCATTAAATAAATAAATACATAAATAAATAAGTAAATTTCTATTAAACATTTCAATAGAATCAGCCAAACACTAATAGAAAATTCAGTAGAAATCCAATAGATTTGTCCAGAGAATTCACTAAATTTTTCCATTAAATTTTTTCGCACTCAGAATAAATAATTTTTTCAGGCGTACGGAATACCCTCTAATGTTGGCTACTACGACACAAATTATCACCCAGATTACGAAGGAATGAGTCAGACTAATAATCCCGAGTCCTCGAAGGCCCAACAAGAATTGAAAAGTAATCTTCTGCAACACCAGAACCCAAAGTAAAAAAAAGAACAGGGAACTGTAATGAATTCCAAAGCCTCGATATTACATTTTCATTTCATCTGTATTGATCTTCCCATTTCACAAAAGAGGTACCTGCATTTATCCATTTTTCAGTGTACATAAATATATTAAAATAATTAATGTTAATAATTTAATAATTCGAATGGATTTCATCGTAAATTTTTCTTAATATTTTTATCCTGCTGAACTGAGTACATTTTATTCATTGAGACTGAGTCGAATTACCGAATGAAATTCATATCGACAATTGCTCGCAATTTAGTCAATCCTCATTAGTTATTTCAATGTACAGTGATTTATTACAGATTATAATCGGATTGTCGCAATGTCTTAGTACCTTCTTGGCTTTTTTTCGTAAAATTGGCGAGTAAAACGTGCGCGTGTATTTTCTTGGGTTTATTCTCCTACCTAGGAAATTAATCAATGAAATGAGTATTTAGTCGATGCTGATTATTCATTTTGGCGTTTTTTTACGCGACGACAAAGGGTCGTTTATTCAGTCGTGAAGTCTTGAAACAGAATTCGTCAAGTCAGACTAGGTCTGAGGCATAAAACATTCAATAGAGAAACCTAGTGCGTTCTCTAAGAAATTCTATTGAATTCTTATCGGCACTCTATGAGAATTCTCTTGGAGTTTTATTAGAATTCTATTGAAAAATTCTATTCATTTTTTGCGCTATTTCTATTTGAGCCGTTTTGTACCGAGAGATTTCCATTTTTCTATAGAATTTCGGTGGCATAAATTTCATAAGTTTTTCTCATAGTAAAATTCAGAAAATAAGGAAAAATTCCGTCCAAGAATTTTTACAGAAAGCAATCCTAAGGGAAAAACTAATTCAGGAAAATAAACATCTATAGAAATTTTTCATCAGACGAATGTATATTTAAAAACACGGGGAGACGTATAATTTTTAGTAGAATTGTCGCAAAAAACGAATTGGATTGGATTTTTTTTTGGAAAAAATATATATATAATATATATTATATATTACATTCTATTACAATAGAATTATCTAACGAATTCGCTAGGTTTTTCTATTAAATTTCTTCGCGCGTAATTCCCTTTAAAATTTCACTATCTCCAGAAAATTGAACTATTCAAGAGAAATTGACTTCTTCTACTCCATCACTTGACGACTGAATTCTCATCAATTTTTTTCCCTTCTTTATCACACATACAATTTAATTGTTGTGCGTTGAGAGATCGTTTTGCATTCCTAAAGTACGTATGACGAGTTTTTATCTCCATTTGCTTTTTCCCTTCCGAATTGAAAGATTGAAGAAATCATTGACAAAGTTTATAAAAATTATTCAAACATTTACCGTTCGTTTTTCGATTTTCCAATTGATTAAATCCCTTTTTCAATGAACAAATAATTAATTAACAATAAATCATTCCTTCGAAAAATCTAGAGAGAATTCCAGCTCCAGAAATTCCTACTGATTTTTTTCAATGCCCAATGATTTCTTCAGTCCAACAACTCTAAAAAAAATTCAAACACGAATCGCATCAATTATTATCCTACATCATCAATCGGCAATATCTGAGGACTTCAGTTACAAAATATATATTATATTTGTTAATTTCGAAGTCACCCCCAGCTATTTATTCACTCTCCATTCAAACAGCAAAAATTCCGTAAACTCTTTCAATTTTACAATTTCCATTATTTCGTCCTCTTTATTTTCTCTCTCAATTTTTATACAAGTTCTGCTCGCTGATGAAATAAGTTGTTGAAGTTTAAATATCACTCACTGAATAGTGTAGAATGTGAATAAACTAATTGTGAAAAATACAAAGTATTCGTGGAAACTTTGGTAACTAGTTTTTATTCGATTTTCGTAGCGATGAGATTTTTTCACTTTTCATTTAAAATCATTTTATTCGTATGATTTATTCATTTGGCAGTGAATCATTATTTTAAACATATTTTATGTTAAAGCTCGCCACCAAATAATGTGAGGATTGAATTTATGAATTTTATGAATTATTATTGATAATCAGATGTGGAATGATGAAACGTGATAAATCGATTCAGTTGCAGATTTAATTTGTTAAGGTTGTGTATTTTTTAATTATAATTGAAGTTAAAAATCAATAGAATTTCTGATAGAATCTCAGAATTTTTATGTTTATTTTCTTTCATACGAGTCATTTTACTGAGAAAAAAATGCCTGCACTATAGAAACATTCTATCAAGTGACAGCTCCAGAGAAATTACAATCATTTAATCTCAATTCAGTAGCGAAACAGCAAAACGGTTTAAGTAGATTTTGACTTTTGGACAGTCTTCAATGCATATCTCGAAATCTACGGCAGATGGCACAATTTTTGTTATGATCTTTTTTGTAGAGTGAATGGAGAGCTACCAAAAAGAGTTTAACGAAAATTTCGACATTTGTCTTAGATTCGGAGATATTGCGCAAAAACTCAGATGAACGATTTAAGTCGCTTTTGACTATTGGTCAGTTTTCAATAAATGTCTCGGAATCTAAGGCAGATAGTAAAATATTTGTTATATCTTTTTTTGTAGAGCAATTTGAGAGCTATCAAAAAGATTATAATGAAAATTTCGCTATCTCCCTTAGATTCAGAGATATTCCTCAAAAACTCAGCTGAGAGCTAAGTCGACTTGAACCGTTTTACCGTTTCGAAATTTCCTAATTCCTTTTCGCTGTATTTTAATTTTGTTCTCATAATAAAATTCAAGGAAAAGAACTTGGAAAATTTAAGTAAGATGGGGAATTCTCGTCTTCCCGCTGCTCAAAACTTTGCGATTGAATTGAGCTTTCGGTGAAATTTCATCATTCAAAAACATTTTTTCTAATGTATCACATATACTTAAATCTGCATGTATTACATATATAAAATCTCCATTCACTGTTATCCATTAATAACAATGTATCTACAAAAACTCCAATCTGCAAGGGACTAATTAATTCCATTTCATCATTTCACCCCTGAAATGATCGTTTGACAAAAAAATGAAACTCCTCGAATCTACACACGTGAGAAAGAATTTAATAGAAAAACCCAGCGTTTACTCCAAGGAATTCGATTGAATTTCTGTTAGATGTCTATAAAAATTCTATTGAAAACTCATTTTTTTGCGTCAATTCTATTAAAAATTATGAAACTGGCTTGTGCGTTCTTAACCCTCGACCACTTGCTGAACGAGCACGGCGCCGCCGGTTTGCGTTTTTTATATTGTAACGTATTTCCCGACGCTTAAAAATTCTGAAAAAATTAGAGTTCCTAGTTCAATCTTTTTATTAATAGTTGGCGTTGTCCGTTTTTTTTTCGGGAAATTTGTTTAGCGAAGAGAAGAACGGAACCGTCGAACGGACAGAAAAGCGGCGCCGTGCCGCCTAGTGCGAGTGAGTCTCTGCCGACGCCTCGAGCGGCAGCATTGCTACATTCACTGCCACCCGTGAAATGCGCGCATAGCGGTAAGAGCCAAGGTGGCAACAGTGCGCTCGGTTCAACCCAGCGGCGCTGCGCCAACTGTGCGACGGATGAAAGGTGGCGGCCGAGCGCGAGTGATCGAACGTTAAATAGATATTTGTTCGCAGAAAGACGTCTGTAGATATTGATTTTTCGCTATAATTCATTCTGTTGAGACTTCTATGAGAATTTGTGGGCATGAATTTTGTATTTATTTTATTTTATCATGAATCTAAAAATTTAGGCTCAAGAGTTTTTATAGAAGAATAAAAATCTATTGACTTTTTCCCATAAAATATCTGGTAATAAAGTACCACGATAAATTTGCACAATCTCCAATAGAAGCGACGCAAAGAACAAATAAATTTTTTCAATAGAATTCTGATAGAACTCCAATTCTTATACATTTTCAATCGAAATTTAATTTCAGAATTCAGAATTTCTCAAGGAAAGCTAGGTTTTCCTATCAATTTTTTTCACCGGTGCAATGATGAATTTAAACAAATTCTCTTGTTTAATAAGACTAAGTGAACACTCACGATATTTCATCTCAATTTTCTCAATTCTTACCTCTAAAATTCAATCGGTGTAATTAAATTCACTCATTATTGAAAAATCCAAAAATCCCTAAATATTCGTATAAAAAGGACGAGAAATTCATCATATGGACGAGATGAAAATCATACCTACCGAAAATTACTTGAACATTAATGAAACAAAATGACTATGCGAAATAATCGACGAAAAAAAATCGATTTCACCTTCGGCGGAATTAAGCCTTGGAATGTTCACACGATATGTTACTGACTAGGAAAATAAATCGGTGGTGAAGTGCTATCTTTCGAGATATGACATATGAAAAAAATTTAAAAATCTTCTTTCGCCTTTGATTTTTGTAGCAATTGTAGTGGATTTTTCACTGGTTTTTATTGAAAATCATGTAATTTTACGTTGTAAAATGATTTATTATTCATTCCACGATGTTGATTTCTCTAGACAATTCATTCGGTTGTCACTTTTCCAATAAAAATTCGCAATAAAAAATGAGTTTCTTTTTTTTGTGCCATTTAGTGATGTGAAACGAAAAAAAGGGATATAATAAAAAATAAAAAAAATAGCATAAAAATGAAAAAAAATTGTCAATTAAATATCATGTTTTTGTCAATAAAAATCTGCGAAAAAGTAGTACATTTTCAATAGGATCTCTTTGTGAAAATGAATTTTTTCATATGTAGTTTATCAACAATTCAATTACCCCCGACTTCATTATTCGCTGAATATGCTTAGAATAATCGCTTGGAAATTTTTTTACGGACGTTCAGAAGAAGTCTCCCGTAAAAATTCACCAATTCCAAGTTCCCAAGATATCCATAAGAATCTGTATCTGAACATCGAACTCCCCTTACCCCCCACTTCACCACCAAAATTAATACTGATTAATCACCTATTCACTGACCAAATCCACCCTCGCCCCCATTAATACTATATCCACCATCAAACTCACGATAAACACATCCACACACACAATAATAATAAAACCACCCATATAAGTACCACAGCACGTACGAAAAAATTTCATAGAGAATATGGAAAAAATTTTACAGAGAAAATCATCAGAATGCAATTTTTCCACGCAATTTATTCTACTGAAATATTTTCTATCAAAACTCCTCGATACAATTTTTTATTTATTTATTCAATTATCGGAGGGAACTTGAAAAATTTGTTGACTTAAGAACATTTCAATAGAATCGGCCAAAAACTAATAGAAAGTTCAGTAGAAATCCAATAGAATTTTCTAACGACTTCGCCAGCATTTTTTTACCAAATATTTTCATCCGCGAGGATAAATAATTTTGAGGATTAGTTAAAAATAGAAGGTGAGGTCACCGCCATCTTTAAAGCCCTTTCGGGTAGAGGGAGAGGGTACCCAAGCAAGATGGCGGCACCCATACCTTTCAACCACCTCGCACTTTTAAACACTTCTCAAAATGATTAATCCTTTTCAGCTCATCTTCAACTGGTTTCATCCACTTCCTCGAAACGGAACAAATTTTACATGCCATCCTCTAGATTTTTTCATCCTCTTTTGGTTGAAAATTCATGGCGCCAAATTTTCCCTGCATTTCGGTGACTTTGTTTTACTTCCGACGTCTCTCAAAGTAAATGCAAAATTACTCGAATGTCCAGTAAAAATTCAATAGAATTTCAAAATGATGAAATTTTTTCGTGCGTGAATTGAACAAAACATACCTACGACTGAACAAAACTCGATAAATACGTAGACGGCAGCACAATTTACAAGGCATTGATATACTTTGTACAAGATGTCCTTGGATTAATTTCTTTTCAAATCGTTCATAACATGCTTAATTCGCTGGAAGGATTGAGGGTTCATGGGAATGGATAAGGATCAACAGTTTTGCTGGAGCACGGTTGAACATCGTCAGGTGGTTGTCGCCACTGACTGGACCACATGGCGACTTCAATGGCCTTGGCAGCGTCAACTCGTTCAGCCTCAGTGGCTCCCTGCATCTCCCACTCCTTGACAGTGGCTGCTAAACAGCTCTGGAAATCGCTGTTAGTGCTAGTCCTCGATGTTTTTACTGTCGGTCCTTTGCCAGCATTAGCTCTTCGTGGCTGTGGCCTCTCAATCTGCTTGAGGGGCAACTTCTGTGGCACTCGTCTCCCAGTCGGTGGCTCCACTTTCTTCCCAGCAACACCATTCCCACTCGAACCACTTCCGTCTCGTCTTCTTCTTCGTCTCTTCTTCTCGAGATCACTCTCGTCCCTCTGCATCGTCTGGACCTCTTCGTCCTCCTGCGGGAGGAAGGCGTCTCTCGCTGATGCCCAGTGGTCCTTTCTCGATTTGTATTTTTCGCAGTTACCGTTCCCTTTACTCGTTGTGTTTGACTCAGTGTCAACGCTCTTCTTCGTTTTTTGGCTTTTCACCACCCAGCCTGACGCCGGCTTCGGACTCTTGTCTTTCAGGGTCATCTGGAATTTCATGAATGTCGCTTTTGAAAAATGATTAGAATACCTTTCGATAGGAAATTTCGTCTTGAAAAGCCCATAATTCTAGAAACAACAAGATTTTTCGTTTACGGGTAAGCGAAAAGGCCCTTTTCAGCACGGGGTGAACATAGCAGCAGCCTCAAAAAGTTTTTTTCGACCTAGTGACGAAAATAGATTTTTCACCCGCGGGAGGTAAAATAGAGGGACCTTACCCACGTGCTTACCACCATCGCCTTCGCTCTGGTGGTAATTCGGCACATGCGCACAACTCCTTTATTTCACCTCCTCAAATCAGAAATATAACATTACGCTTTCGTATCGAAATATAGTATTTTCATTCTATGCAACATCTCGGTCGAATTCAAAGATAGTGGCGATCGCATCATTTGCTTTGAAATTATAGCCTTAAAAAGCGTTTAATCATGGTGTAGTCGAGATTTAGTCGGAGTTTAGCCAAGGTTTAGTCGGGGTTTAGTCAGGGTTTAGTCCGAGTTTAGTCAGGATTTAATCGTGGTTGTGTCAGGGTTTAGTCGGAGTTTAGTCAGGGTTTAGCCGGCATTTTAGTCAGAGCTAAATCAGGGTTTAACCAAGGTTTCGTCAAGGTTTAATCAATGTTCAGTGGAAATTTAAACCAGTTTAATTTTAATTTAGTCGACGTCTGTTAGATGATTAACAAGGGCATATGGAGCTCACGTTAGACATTCGGGACATTTAGAGATCATATTAAGGTTTGATGGCGAATTGCTAATTTTTACAAAAAAAAAAATATACTTGATTTAGACCTGTGCAATGGGGCACTTGTTAAAGTTCGTATATATTCAAATATTTTGTTGTCACAGATTAATAAACTGTCCTGAAGAGGAGGGCGCATGGCACTCGTAACGTTGACAAAATTGAAAAAATGAAAGGATTTTTTTTATTTCGATTTTTTTTTATTCTTGTCTGTTCATGACCGTAAAATGGCTCAAAGGAGTTGTTCTAAATTGATAAACACAAACGGTTGGATAAATTATGGGAAGATTTCGGGGTTGAATAGAATAAAATTACCCCGGACGACGTGGAATCCACTGGCTTGTAAAGCTGACTCTGCGAATGATCATGGGACTGTGATTTGCAATTCACCCCAGTTCTTCCATGTATCCAGGAGAGTAAAAATGCGAAAAGTGCACAGGATACGGCTATGCCAGCCGCCACAGTGAGTTGTGAACGGGTGCGACGTGGCACCCATCCAGTACCGTGGTACTCCCATATCGAGAGCCCTAGCAAGCCACTGCCAGCTGTGTACGACACTCCGATGCCAGTGAATACCCAAAAATTCTGTGCAAAAAATTTATTTCTCATTTACAAGAGAATTTATTTATTCATTTAAAAATCACGTTTTCACGATACGTATGAAAAATTTAATACATAAACGGAGCGAATTTGCTGGAAAATTTTATTGAACTCTTATTGAAAATTCTATTAGTTTTTCGCTGATGTTATTGATAAATTGAAAAATTAATAAAGTTGATCTTTTTATATAATTGTTTGTAGTGAGACACGTTCTATGGAATTCCTCAATATAAATTTTTCAAGTTTTTTCCACGTAATTTTTTTTGTCTGATTAAAAACATCAAACAACACAGTTGAAAAATATCTCAATACAATAAATTATTTTTATATAGAAAAATCAAAATCATTTCGATTGTTCTAATCCTGCAGAATTTTTTAGTAGAATCAGTGAAAAACTAGTAGAATTTTCAATAGAAGTTCAGTCGAAATCCGATCGATTTTCTAACGAATTCGCTAGGAAATTCTATTTATATTTTTATTGAAACTATGGCAATTTTATTGTATTTCAATTAGAATTTTATGAAAAATCTGTTTTTCGACAATTCTATTGAAAATAACGCAACTTTGCTGTGCGTTTTTTTCAGAGATACTTCTTTATAGCAAAACAAAGTTTACAGATACTGATTTTTCCAAGTAACTTATTTTGTTTGCATTTTCTCAATAATAATTTTTGGGAATGAATTTTTCTCTTTTTGGGATTTCGGAATGTAAAACAAAAAACGATGGCGAAACAAACACGTACAATTTATGCGCAAGAATTTCAAAAAATCCAAATCTATTGACTTTTCTCTATCAGAAAAAATATAATAGAATTCGTTTAAGAAATTGAATGGATTTTCTCAGAGAAAACGCCAGATTTTTTATTAATCTTTTTCATACGTCTTTTAATGAATTAATCGATCAATTATTTACTTAATTAATCAACAAATTAATCATTTGAGGAATTAATTAATCGCTCAATGGACAAATGAATTGATCAAGTGATCGCTAAAGTTCGACTTTGAATTATTATATTCACCACTTTATCCCAATTGAGGGGGAACATGTAAACAACGTGTGTAATATCGAGGAAGAGAAGTAGAATTGTGACTAGGAGACAAAATACAGTGACAAATATCATGAATCTTAAGCGTCCGACGAGTGGCAGCATGAAGAGATTGACACTTGCTGTGCCAGAACTGCATAATGTGGCCAAACATGCTGCCGATGTTATCTGAAAGATGAAAAAACAATAATAAATGGATTTTAATCATACGCTCTTTGATGTCACGTATGAAAAAATTTAGAAGAAAATCCTAGCGCTTTATCCAAAAAAATCTATTGGATTTCTACGGGAAAATTCTATTTATTTTTTGCGCCAATTCTACGAAAAATTGTATAACTTTCACGTGCATTTTGCAGCAGATATTTGTTCATATTTTTACAGAACTCTAATAGAACTCTAATAATAGACTTCTTAGGGAGTTCTAGTAGAAATGCGATAGAATTTCAAAACAGAACTTTGAAAATTTAAGTCGGTGAATTTCTATAGGAAGATTTTCTGTACAATATCTTCTATTGAACATTTCTATAAGAAAACACATGAAAAAACTGCAGAATTTTTCAAAGGAATCGGCGAAAAATCAATGGAACTAATAGAATTTTCAATGGAATTCCGTAGAGAAATCTTCTCGTACGTGTGATTTATCGTGTATCATTTCCGTGAATTCATGCATTGAAATATGAAATATTGTATTTTTCTGGCGAAACTCAGGAGAAAAAGAATTCTGACGACACCTGCAAAAGTTTTGAAATGATAGAATTTTTTTCAGAATTTCAATAGAACTCCAATAGAATTTTTTGGAGTTCCAGTAGAAATTCAATAGAATTTCAGAATAAACTTTGACAATTTAAGTCGACGAATTTCTATAGAAAGATTTTACGTTGATTTTTTCCATACAATATTTGTTATTGAACTTTTTCTATGAGAAAACATATGAAACAGCTGCGGAAGTTTTCGATGGAATCGGCGAAAAGCTAATGAAAGTAACAAAATTTTTAATAGAATTCTATAGAAAAAATCTCTTCGTACGTGTGATTTATCGTCTATCACTTCCGTGACAGAATTTTTTTACAGAATTTCCAATTTCAGAACTCCAACAGAATTTTTTGGAGTTCTAGTAGAAATTCAATAGAATTTCAAAACAAACTTTGAAAATTTAAGTCGACGAATTTCCATAGAAAGATTTTCTATACAATATTTTCTATTGAACATTTCTATAAAAAAACACATGAAAAAGCTGTGTAACTTTTCAATGGAATCGGTGAAAAACTAGTGGAACTCATAGAATTTTTAATGGAATTCCGTAGAGAAATCGTTTCGTACGTATGATTTATCGTGTATCACTTCCGTAAATTCATGCATTTAAATATGGAATATTATATTTTTCTGGAGAAACTCGGGAGAAAAAGAATTCTGACAATACCTGCACTAGTTTTGAAATGACAGAATTTTTTTACAGAATTCAGAATTTTTATGGAGTTCTAGTAAAAATTCAATAGAATTTCAAAACAAACCTTGAAAATTTAAGTCGACGAATTTCCATAGAAAGAGTTTCCATTCATTTTCTCTATACAATATTTTCAATTGAACATTTCTATGAGAAACCACATAGAACAGCTGCGGAATTTTTCGATGGAATCGGCGAAAAACTAGACTAATAGAATTTTCAACAGAATTCCGTAGAGAAATCTTTTCGTACATGTGATTTATCGTGACTTCATGCACTGAAACATGGAGTATTGTATTTATCCGGAGGAACTCACGAGCAAGAGAATTCTGACGACACCCGTGGTGGTTTTAAGATGACCCTGTATGTCACAGACAAGTACCAAGTGGCTGGCACGTGGCCATGGCAGTGCATTTCCGGAAGAGCCATGCCGATGATTACCGTGGCCATAAGGACCATGGTAATTCTCATGTGAGTCCCACGAGTGGACGGTTGAGTGTACCCCTGGTGAATCCAGCTCCGACGAGTGGGAGCTTATAGCTCCCCCAGTTCGACTCCCTGCTATTATCAAAATACAAACATTAATTCAATTTCATTATGAATGAAGTGAATTAGTGAATTATCATTTCACTAAAGGTTGGAATTCCCTAGATCGTCAACCATCGTATAAAATTTAACAAAAAATCTACGAAAAATTGATCGTATTAATAAATTTTGTTCACAATTCTCAGTTTTTTTTACTAGAAATTATTTTTTATCGGATTTAATGCGCAGGAAATATTTTGCTGCAACTTTTTTTTCAATTTTGTTTTGCATGAACTCTGATTTTTCTCTTGTTGATTTATTGTGGCATCAGAAATAAAAAAACGAGTGATTTTTTCCTAAGAATTTCTGTAAGAAAAAACTCAAGGAAATAAATTAGAAATCCACTTGAATTTACAATTTACAATTCTCGGTTTCTTTGACGAGAAATTATTGTTATTTTTTTATCATTTAACAATACAAATTATTCTGTTGCAATTTTGGGACCTGAATTCTGATTTTTTTTCCTGATTAATCTTGTCAAGAGAAACAGAATAAATATGAGGAGATTTTCCCAAAAACTTCTGTACGAAAAATCTCAAGGGGATAAATTAAAAATCGAATAGAAATCTACTCGAATGTCTGTGCAATTTCCCTAGATTTTTCGAATAAAATTTGGTGATGCCGCAAGGGAGCAAGAGAAACAAGACAAGACAAAAGAACATCATTCTCTTATAAATAAGCAGCAAGACAATTAATAAATAATTTAATAATATAATAATAATAATAATTTTTATTGAATATTTCTCTGTGCACGACTTTTAAAAATCCTAGTAGTCTCCCCTTAATCTTGTCATGAGAAACAGGATAAATATGCGGAGCTTTTTCCCGGATGATCTCGAACAAATAAAAATATACAATATCCAATTTTAATATCAATAGAATTTCTCAGAATAACCGCTAGGATTTTCTATTCAATTTTTTAGTTTCGTCCTCCTGAGGCATCCCTAGTAAATTTTTTTCCTGCGTGTTATTAACATTGTCATAAACGTGTTGAATGGAGTAATTAAATCGACAATTGAAAATGTAAATAATACCAATTTCGAAGTCCTGTATGTCCTCGGGCCTTGAATACGCCGTTGGCGGTGGCTCCAGATCTCTTATTTCTTCCAACAACAATACTTCAATTTCGTCTGCAGCGTACAAATCCGAGACGGAGCGAAGATGATGCCGAGACTCGCTCATCACTCGGGGGTTAAATGTGTGAAATTAATATTCCCCCTCCCCCCCACCCCCCCAAACACTGATAACGGGTCCACCCAATGATTTTACGATTGAAAATCCTCGGGACTGGACCTGTCACAAATTCATCCCTTTCCACTTGACATTGAAGCCCATTTCAAATATCATCAAATCCAATTGTCCGATAATTCATTTTATCCTGGCAACACCCTCTGCAAAATATTTGAAAAACCATTTCTCGTCTGTCATCAGCACAATTTACCATTACATAAACAAACAAGTGGTGATGAAAAAAGTATTTCACAATGAGAGATTAAAATTAGTGCATTTGCTTCTCGAATGAGGAACATTGTCTCGTGCAGGAATAACAAATACAAAATGTTCCTCGGCATTGTTTAAAAAAACATGCAATACGACAATTGTCCTTAAATCATCAATTGTCAGTCAAGTTATTCCCACTTTGACATACTTGCCCGAATCATATTAAATACGTCAACAATAACGAGAGAGTAATGGCTACGAATATTTATTTGGAGTCGTTTAATTACCCAGATAAATTGTGAACATTGAAGTATCGTTTATCACATCTTTTTTCGTTTAAATATATTGTCCTCGTGAGCCTATGAACCTCTGGACTGTCGCCATTACCGCTCTTCAATCAACTCGTAAACCCCCTTTTTTCACATTGTCCCGTGAGAATGTAAAAGTTTCGAGAGATGTGCATCGGTGGAGGGATGTTTTTAGGGGTTGACGGTGGCATCGCGAGGGCCAATTGGGTTATCCGCAGGCTCATGGAGCGAAACTTCATTGGTGGATCGATGGAATTAAAGGGGAAAGTCGGGCTGATGCGAGGGTAGTCTAACGTGTCAGCCAATGGTGAGTTTACGCACAACAGGGGATGATAGTTCCTTGAATTTCCCGCTCTGCGGCGCGCCTGGAGCTTTCGGGGGGTAATGAAGGGTGGAGCTTTCACCTGTCGAGATCTCAAGGTCATTAACGATTTTTATTGGTGGTGAATAACGTACCGAATGTTGATGGATTACTGACAGTTGATACCTGTGGGTTCTTGTACCATCTGATGGTCAGTAACCCTCGGGTTACGGCTTTTCGTCGCCAAGAACGCATCAACAGGGATTTTAAATGCAATCGGAACCGCGGGACATTGAATGCTAATTACTATTGAATTCTACGTTCATCTGATGATTTAGTAATCAGTGAAAACGAGTCATCAAAGGTTTATTGAGAATTCATTAATGTCTGCACTGATTCCCGTGATTGATGTTGATTTTTGCAGCGAGTGTAATTAATCTTTCATCAAGCCTCCGTCAATTGATGTTCAGACGATTTTATGAGGGGCGCACTTGGGGGATGATTCATTTGAATCGTATTAATGAGATCATTTGGGATGGCGTGTGGGTGTTTTATTGGGGTTCTCGAATATATTGCTGATATGTATGAATGTCATGTTAGATACTAGTGTGATAATTCTTCTTGTATTTCTCGTAAAAATTCACTGTCTCTTCCATTTCACCGTGCTGCACAAGAGTTTTTCCCCGCATTTATAAAAAAAAAATTACTACACGGAGAGAAAAAATCGATAAAAATTACCAGAAAAAAAAACGTAAAAATTACGTTTCAAAACGTAATCCGCGAGCGAAATGGTACAAATTGCCGCGTAAGTTCTACGATTAATTCCGTAAAAATTAACCACCCGTCTGATGACTCACTGCTTTGGGGACAACAGGTCGTTCCGTAATTTTTCCCTATCGATTGAGGAATTTTACGGAACGGAACGTAGAAATAACTCACCAGCTTCATAAAAATTGTTGAACGTTCAAGAATTTTTGATTTTGAAGTCATAATAACTCGGGAAGTTTCTGTTAGATTTTACCTCTTCGGGAAAAATTACGTGAGAATTTCGTACTTTGTTCGATGATAAACCTGAGAAATCATTGAACGTTTTCGATTTCTTCTCTTCCATTCCGATAAAAATTGCCGGAAGACGATTCCCCATTGCGGGTTACGTGAGCTGTTCCGTAATTTTTACTGAATATTTCTATCCGTGTAGTGCAACAGTAATTTTTCTTGCTCTTTGCGGTACATTTCGCCTGGAAAGACCATCCGAACCCACTTAACTCTGCGAGCACGGTAATTTGTCTCGTACTTTTCTCTCCGTGGGGTGTCAGGATTCCCGAAAATAATTCCAACCCTCGAAGAAACAGATCCTCAACAATTCGACAGTCTGACGATGAGGTCAAGGGTGCCACCATCAGACTCGAAGAGCCCCTCGTGCATTAAGAATGCCAGACGCTTCCGCACAGGGAAAAAAAATTGAAGGATTCCAAGATTAAGGTTTGGTGGCTGGATGCAACGGAAATCGATCTTTGGGAAGTGTGGAATTACTCGTGGGGCGCATAGTTGCTAAAATTGGACACTCGAATCACGTACAAATCGAGGGGTGGGTGGCTATGGGGGCAGGACGACCTCCAAATAGTAATGATATTGGTAGTTTCCCATCATGACCACCAGACTACGAGGCGAAGTGACTGGCGAGTGATCACTGGACTTTAAGTTCAAAGGAAAAGTTTTTGAAAGAGAGTGTCTTATATCTCTCGCAAGTTCCCCCCCCCCC